TACAACCGCCGCCGGTAACGTCTCCGATATCCATGCGGGGCGGCGCTTTCGACGATGCAGATGCAACACAGCTACGGGCGTTACTAAGAGAGAAGACAGAGAGGATCCAGGTTCTTACTGCGGAGTTCGACGCACATCGTGCTGACTTCAGAAGTACGATCGATACCCTGGAGCTTGCCTCTACCGAGACAGAGCGTGTATACGAGATCAAAGTTCAAGAACTCATGAACGAGATCCGGGAGCTGCAGGAGCGAACTGAGGATGTGGAGAGTGTCGCTCGTCAACTCAAGCAACTCGAAGAATTGGTGGCAGAGCTTGAAGAGGGTCTCGAAGACGCACGTAGAGGTGAAGCTGAAGCCCGCGGCGAAGTAGAATTCCTTCGTGGTGAAGTAGAACGCTGCCGCGAGGAGCTCCGACGCGAGAAAGAGAAGAGTGCCGCTGCGGTAGCGAACGCTGCCGTAGGAAAGCTCATGCGTACCGGCTCCATTGATAGCGAGGTCGAGAAGAAGGATGATGAGATCCGCGGACTGAAGGCGATAATCCACTCCCTTTCGAGAGACGCTGTTCCGGCTGAGGACGGAAGCCATGCTGTACACCTCGGAGCTCTTCGCCGCGTCAATGGTGAAACTGGTGACGGTGATGAATTGACAATGGAGCGTAACACCCGCGAGAAATTGGAGCGTGAGGTCAATGAGCTCCAGGGCCTGATTGACCGCAAGGCCTCCCGTGAGGACGAACTTGAAAAGGAGATTGAGTTCCTACGAAAACGCAAGGAGACCCGCGCGTCCGGTGCTTCAGGCTCCATCTCGGAGAAGACAGCACCGGGCATCGTTGGCTCGTGGGGCCGCAACTCTGGAGAGCGCCATAGACCATCATTCTCCGCCGCAGACACCGAGACTGCTACTGCCACCACTGCCAGTGAACGGGAATCACGCGGGACCGTCGGCAGCTGGCGAAGGGCCAGACAAAGCAGCGCAAGCAGCATGGCCGGCGCTGAAAAGGAGGAGTCCGTCCCTGAAGCTGTTGTCAGCAGTGGCGCGCTTGCACCCATTACTGCGGAGGGCTCAGATGCGGAGGCAATGTGGTGCGAGATCTGCGAGACCGCAGGCCATGATATCCTTACTTGCACCAACATGTTCGGCTCCGCTGCCGGCGGTCCTGCGTCCGCAGGCCCCGAAGGCGAGAAGCCGCTCCCAACCCCACCCACCATTCATGCCAAAGAAATTGTCAACGACGATGACGAGACCAAGACCATTGCCTCCGATAGCGACCACATCGAGCCACCTCTCAACATCAACGGTAACGGCAACGGCAACGGTGTATCGCCCGGCTCCGCATCCTTCATGGAGGAGGAGGAGCGACGACGCATTGGCGCTCAAGAGCGAAAGAAGAGCGTGCACCTCCCCGCACCACCGCCAATGGTCAGCGTTGACAGCAGCTTTGGCCCTGTCGCTGGCAAGGAGAGCGGCGTGGTGGAAATGGATAAATGGTGCGCCATGTGCGAGAGGGACGGCCACGACAGTGTCGATTGCCCGTTGGAGATGGATTACTAGATGAGGGAGTGGCGTAATGATTAGCTTGCTTTCATTGCTTTTTCTTTTCGTCTTCTCTTCTTCTTTCTTCTTCTACTGATGCATTGATTTAACGTACGCACGGACGGACGGGCTGGCAAGGCAAGGCAAGGGTGGCAAGGCTTGAAGGGTGGGAAATCGAATCGAATCGAATTAAGCATTTTGACATTGGGAGTTTTTTACGTTGTCTTTTTTTCTTCTTTTTCCTTTTATATATTCTAGTCTTTTTTTCTCTTCCTCCTTTTTTTCCTTTCTCTTTTCCTTTCTTCCTCTCCTTATTCCCTACGTCTTTATTGGGTCTCATAAAGTCTCGTATCGGTGCCCTATTTCCTCTCCCTCTCTTCGAGGGGGGAGAGACAGATTAGTTATGGTTCTGTGTGTTTTTAATTTTTCTTCATGGGGCGGCGGGGTGGTGGTGGTTATTGTCTTCTTTCCCTTCTTATTTCGGGAGTGGATTATGATTTCTCCTCCAGGGATGAGGAAGGGGGGAACGAGGGCGGATGAATGAGGGATGATGTGTCCAGGCGAGATCGAATAGAAATGTGTACTGTATGTGTATCGGAAATAATGAGCTAGGGGCGGTGGGGAATTTAAAATGGAGTAAAATAGACTATTGCATAGAGCGTTGAGTGTTAAGTGCCAGTATTCGGTGTCGAGTGGTAAGGGCTAAGGGTTCGTGAAGTCATAAACGGTCACTCGGCGGGCGTCAAACTGCGTTGTGCTAGAGCGTCATGGGGCGTCACTCGGTAGGGTGGCAAAGAACGACGCAACCCGCGAACGCGGGGGATGATGTGTTGCCAGAGTACTGGAATCAGTGTATAGGATCGACTGGCCTAGATCTGATTTACACTTTAACTGCATACAGCCGGGGCAGGACGGGCGGGTGCATATCTAGGTGGACGTATGTATCTACATTTCGAGATCGTCTACATCCAACCCGAGTAGAGTAGTACTCGTTCCTTCCCGCTGTAACCAACGGGCTAACTGAAAATCAACTGCCACTTGGACACACCGGCACACCGGGTTTTCTGTAGTCTTTGCTACTTGCTGTTATTGCTGTGTCAAGACAACAAGTCTAGTTGTCTGATAAACTTATGGTGTCTTTGCTCACTACATGTATAAAAGGAGCTTGTTTCTTTTATTCTTGTAATAACAATTATGATATATATATGAGTCTCTTCAGCCTCTTATAAACTGTACTCCTAATTGTGATGACAAACGAAGAAACTATCAATCAATCAATCCGAATAAGAAACAACACAATTCCACCTTACTTCCAGCCGCACTCCTCTCATATAATGAGGAAGGGAGAACACGCAGCCCCAGCCCTTAGTCGATCCTATTAAAAAACCACATAGTAACCCTAACCCTGTACATACAATTAGGTGATTTTGTACGTTGGTAAAGTGTCATCAGGCAGATAGCATGGAATATGTTCAAAGAGTTGAAGAGCTGGGCGGCGCGTATAAGTTAACCGGAAGTAGAAAATTAATATCTCTCTGGTCATGATTCTCAGTTTGCCATCTCATGAAGATTTTTTTGTATTGCAAATCTCTCGTACGTGTATACGGTGACTTTTCACAAAGGACGTCCCTCTTACCCCACTACAACAACCAGTAGCGATTAGCTCAAAGCACTTACTTACCCTTATAACAAGGAAGAAGAAAGAAAAGAGGGAGAGTCCATAACCAGGACCTGACAGGACATGCCGCTCCGATCATTACCCCCCAAATGCCAATCTTTTCTTGGCACCCTAATTCTGCCAAGCCCAGTCTGTTCCTGGGGCTCAAAAAGGTTTTTCCTCCAAATACCAGCAACAACATCTTCATCCTCAACTTCACCAAACCCACCATCGACATCATCACCCAACGACATCATCATCACGGAAACTAACTAACAAACAATCTGTAAGTCGCCCCTCACCCCTTTCTACCACTCATCAAAAGAAAAGAGAGAGAAGAGAGAAACACACCATGATGAGTATCTCCCAAGAATGAAAGGAAGAGCCGTATGAGTCCCCTACAACATAAAAACCGGACCATCCATCTTCACCCATCAGCGCCCTGCCCGACCCGCTCGGGAAATGTATGATCGGTTTGACTTTCTTCGTTCCCGGGTGGTTACAGTGCGGCGTGGGTATTGTGGGGAAGTCCCGTTGTGGGGGGCGGTGCTTAGAACATTGGGTACTGAGATGTGTTTTGAAATCTCTCTCATTTTTCCCTTGGTGCAGGAGGAGCGGGTTTCAATTGAGTTTTGTGAGAGAATTAACGCTAACTTTTTTGCCCGTGGATAGAATTCAGGATTTAGGACATCTTTACGTTGTGAGCGTTGTGAGATGCGCAATGAATTTGTGTATCATGCCACACGAGCCCGGCAAATGGTTTATGGTCATGGGCTCAGAATACTTATTCTAGCAGAGGATCAAGTAATAAATGAAATCAATAAATCTCTCGATTTGTTCACTGAACCTACCGAGTCAAAAACTCAAACTTTGTATGACCGTCATGAGACATAACTCCACCTTTTCTTTCCTTCGTATCACACTATCTTTTACCACAGGGCCTGATCACCGGGTCTTCAGGAAAAGTGATACTGAGCACACATGATTTGGCTCTATCCAGTTTATTGTCTTGTAGTTATAGCTATTAAACAATCCATGGATTAGAAATAGAAAGCACGAAAAGAAAAATAGAGAGAAAGACCTGATGCACACCCACACACAAACACAAACACACGAACAATTTCAAAGCAAGAGCAAATGATCGAAAACAAATGAGACATGAAGATTCTTCGCGCTACACCAATTGAAAATAAAAACAAGAAACAAAACGAGATTCAAACCAATCCCCGGCCCTCCTATCTCTTCAAATTAATGCATCGAATGGTAATGGAAATGAAAAAGAAAATATCCACCACATATTTCCATCACATTTCCCATACTCTCACAGGATTATTAGAGCGATACGACCTAAGCTACTAAAGTATGCTAGCTTGAAAGAAAACCCAATCATTTAGCACTACAAACACTTAGGCATATTCGCCCTCCCCCTCGCAGTTAAAGTTTAGTTTTTAGCTACCGCACCGTGCCTTTACCGTATAGATAATAACAATAACCCTGGCCCCAAATTTAATTCCATCCAACCTGTTGAAATCAAAGCAAAGCAAAATACAAAAGAAAAAAATAAAAAAGAACACCGCACGCTGTAAAAATACGCAAGGAAAACAAAAGTGAAGAACTCTGATACGCAGCTTGTAGAGGGTAGATTAGTGAACAAATGAAAATGAAATGAAAGAACACCAACAAACCCAGTTTCGAGCTTTGGACGATAATTTTTAAGAGAATGAAAGAGAAAAAACAAAACAGAAAGATATTAGAGAACCGAACCGAAACACCTTCCATTCAAACATTGGCCCCACTCTGATCCAAAATTACTGCCTCACGAACCCATTCCCCTGTACATTACCATATTGCTGTTGACCATACGCTTGTTGCTGGTTGTAGAACTGCTGATACTGCTGTTGTTGCAATAATGTTTGACTTTGCGATGCATACGCATTTTGAGGAAAATAGCCTGCTGCACCTTCGTATGCGCCGTAACTGCTCATTCTCGGACTCGGGGATTTGGCCTTCTCCCTTAACAGAGCTTGCTGCTGTTGCTGTTGAAGCTTCTGTTGCTGAAGTTGAAGCTGTTGCTGTTGAAGCTGTTGCTGTTGGAGCTGTTGCTGTTGGAGCTGTTGCTGCTGGAGCTGTTGCTGCTTGAGCTGTTGTCGTTGGGCAATGGCTTGTTGAACTGTTGCGCTGTTGCCATTACCCGACCATGAACCCTTCATGAGTTTTTTCTCCTTCTCTCTTGTCTCAATTGCGCCAAGAAGACCAGTCTGGTGAGGCGGTTGGTTTTTACCTTTCCCATTGTCTAGATGGAGGAGAGTTGACCCCGTCTGCTTTGCAACATATTCCTGTTCGCGCGCAGAAAGATGTGCGGACAAGTCAGCAGCAGATGAAACCAGACCGTTCGGGATGAAGGCTGAACTGTGTCTTTGTAATGTGGGGAGCAATTCGCTGGACATGTTGCGGCTTCCTGGTGAGGGGGTGCCGGAAGCTTTTCGCTGATGAATATAACGACTCCTTGATTGTTGTTGTACCGCAGCAGCAGTAGCCTTATCAGATACGTATTGCTCTGCTGATCGATCCGGAGATCTTTGCCCCCCAGCAACTGGCACCATTCCGGGTTGCCAGACCATGCTCCGTCTTTTTGATTCACTACTCTCAGAACTGTGAGGCTCGTTTCCGGAGTCCGGGGAAGGCCTATTCCAAGAATCACGTTTTTCGCTACCAGCAGAAGACCTGGAAGATTCACGGTTGTGTTCGGACCAGTCCACATTCAACGCTTGGAATGAGTCCCTACGGTTTCCGCCCAACATAGTACCCTGAGAAGCAAGACCTGATGCGATAGTAGCATCGGGTTCCATGAGCTGCCCACCCCCCTACCAATACCTCTACTCTCCGCACTCAAGCTACGCCCGTGGTTTATCGTCGTCCCAAAATCAACTTTGGGGATATCAGCAGGCAACGCTTTTCGCTCCGCAGCAGTTGATTTGTAATGCACGTCACCCACCACAACCTCCGGCTCAATGGTCGTCCCCACAACTTTCTTTACTCCCGCTCTTGGCATGTCTGCATCTCTTTTTGGTGGTTCCTCTCTCGTGTGTACGCTCGAATAATCAGGCTCTTCTTCTTCCTCACTCCCATACTCACTTCCGCTGTTCTCGGCATTCTCACTCAACATCTGCTGTAATCTACTGGCTCTTCGTCGATCAAAAGTGTCCTCCTCCTGATAAGTAACATCATCGCTATCTCTTCCAATTTTGTCAAGCGCCTCTTGACTCATTAGATGCCTCGCAAGGCTTTCGATACTGTCTGTTGTCTTTGGCGTATCGTCAGCAGAGGCTGCGCCGTTGGTCGGCTTTCTAGAGATGTTCTGGGTTTGGAGACTCGGAATCTGGTGAGCGTTAGGTGACCTGCGCGGAATTTGGGTAGGAATATGTGGTGACGGTGATTCCAGACCTTCCATAACGGTGTAGGGGACTACCTTTACTGGTTGGATAAGGGTACCTCCAGGTGTGTCCTGCCATGAGAATCTAGGACGACGTCCCTCCGGAACACCAATATCCGACTGACCACTTCCCTGTTGCTGCTGCTGTTGATGTTGACGCTGCACTTGCTGAAACGACTGTTGTGAAGGGGGAGGCTGCCCAATATAGCCGTACCCTTCCTCGTACGCAACCTTCGAATCGCCCATTGGGGGGGGCCCAGAAAGCAAAACTTGCGAGTTCTGAATTTCAAACCCTGGTGGGGGCTCAAGGCTTTGTTTTCCAAGTGAGCTCTGCGCAGTGATTTGCGATTTCTGGCTAGGTAATAGATGTGGTGGGTTCGAGGGGGGCGAGATAGAACCCCCTGTCTCTTTCAAGAATGCTGCTGCTGCTGCTGAAGTTCCCATCTCATTTAGTGTATTGTTAGAAATCCGTCTCTGGATTTGTGGAGCCTGCTGAGGCGACTGGGGCAGTTGGTTTGGTCTCGAGCTTGGAGGATGGGTCATTGTTGGCGTTGCTGGAACTTCCGAAAAGGCTGGTTGTTCCGTCTGTTGCTGAAGACGACGTGCAGCAGGATCAATGGGACGCCCTTGGAATAAGCTAGAATCAGAAGATCCAGAATCACTTCGAGCTAAACCTTGACTCTGCTGGGAATCATGCTGGGCCTCTGCCATAGAATAAAGTGAAGGGGAAGCCCTCTGTTGCTTCTGATACTGCATGTACCCTGTAGACTCAGATGTTGAACGTTGATGATAATTGTTCGAGGGCAATGGGGGAGTATTCAACGGAACATGCTGTGGTGGAAGTTGAGATGCCGGAATGGGTAGAGAAGAGCTTGATCTCTGAGAGTCTCCATCGAAAGTTCCGCCGGGAAACCTTTGCCCAGCTGGAAGACTGGTCCTAGGCCTTGCGGTCCTCGATTCGTTTTTCATCTTCTCGTAAGTTGCGTTCTTCAACTTAGCCCTCCACTCCGACTCAGTGTTGATAGCAGTCCCTTCAGAGACAATTAATGACACGATATCTGCCACTTCCAGGTACCCATATTGTCGTTCCCTGGGCATTGCAAACATCAAGCTCTTGACGTCATTGATATCTGGAACCAACCTATTTGGGCGTCCATACAGTGCAAAGGTGTCAAACGTGGGGAACAACCACTTCAGCATCATTTCAAACCCACTGACAGCCGGGTGCACCTCTGGCATCACAAACACAAATCCCTCACTCATTGTTGGTGGGTCTGAATTAATGGTGATCTTTCCCTCTATCTTGACAAGGGTGCTCTGATCAATCAGCGGCTTACTCTGGGGATAAATAGCGTATGCTGAAAAGGCATCGGTGATTGTCGCTATTGGCTGCGATTTCTTGCTCTTCTTATTTTCATAAAACTTGATATCTCCCTTGAGGATAGGAATAGAAGTATATCCTGTTTTCTGGGCCTTTTTCAAGAGTGCCTTCTGCTTTTTGACTTGCTTTTCGTCTGGAGGCGTGATTACTGCCCAACATCGACGCCATGGTGTACCGGCGCCGAATCGCACTCTTGCCCAATCCTCATACTTGAAGCGAGTCTTCTCGATTATCGTATTAATACCGTTGAGTGTCTTACCCTTTCCGGCGATCAATGCGCCAGTGTAGGCTTCCTGGAGAGAAGAGTGCTCAAACATGCACAGCCTGATACCGGCAGTCCATAGCGTGAGTGAATGGTGGGAATTAAAATGAAAAAGGTATCGGTTTCGGCCAGCAGTGGAAATACTAAGGACATTAGTGAGCGGAGGAACATCTGATGATCGAGTTGGAAGTGTATCAATCTGTATGCCATTAGTCAATGATTCTTTAGATAATATATGCAAACTAGAGAAAACGCCTGAGACACTTTAGATCTACCAGTGGCTTGGCGTTCTCCAGCTTGCATAGACGGGAAATGCCATATCCCTACCATCTTAATCGATGCATCTGTGAGGTTCAAAAATGTTGGCACAACCTCCTCCCCCGGCTTTGCCGCATCTAATTCCGCCGCATCCCATAACGATAACACAGTCCCTACCAGCTGCGCGAAGCACTCCTGCCAATTTCTGTCATGACTTGGCTTCCCATCTACCCCGATTCCGTTAGCTTCATCTTACACGCCTCTACCGCCGCAGCAGTGCCGTATAACCTCATCCTGCCACGCCGATCGCAGGGAAAAAACATACCAGGATTTAAATCGTTCAATTTCAAGAAATACCCCTCCGTGTATAGCTTCTTGCTATGGCTATTTAAAAACGTAAATATTGGCTGCAGCTCTGGTAAAGTATCCCGCTCCACCTCTAGTAGCGGTGGTTGGTATGGCTGCACAATACTCATAGGTCTTGAGGACGGTCTGCTCGTTCTGCTTTGCGGGGGGTGCGGGCTGTCTCGCGATGGAGATGCGATGTGCGCTTCGGTAATCGAGGTAAAGGTGTCGCGACGTAATCGACCTTTAGGTTCCTCGCTTGGTGATTTTGAAGTGAGAAGATTTGTGAAAGACGCGGACCAGGCTGCGGTTTTGTTCGTTGTCAGTTTTTTAACATTCTTAAAGCTTCGCTTGAGGAACATTAATGGCCAGCGGCTACTGGCAGTTGGGTTATTTTTAGAAAGGTCTTGGGAGGGTCGCAACTCACAGCGGGAACGAGTCATTATGACAGATTTGAAAAAACAAAGTTATTATCGAACTGTTGCACAATATTAAGAAAGCTAGCACTCTTTGACAACGCTTTCGCAAACAATGTTGGATTGAACTGAGAGTTGAGTAGCAAAGTAGAGTAGTGTCCAGGCACCAAAGGAAGAAGGCTGGATTTCTCTAAATGAAAGGGTGTAGGGTAGTGTAGGTGAGATCCGGGTCCGGTCAGATTATTGTACCTGGCTGGCTGGTTGGGGCTGAATGGGTGACACTTGCTTGTTGGTGGGGGGAGTCAGGCGAGAGAATCAAGAATGACGAGTGATTAACAGTAAAATAATTATTGATATCCTACCCCAGATTGCATAGAGGTAGCCACGAGAAAGGTGCAGGAGGAGAAGCAGGTGTAGAAAGAGGCTGAGAATATGAAACGACGCGCCTTCAATCCTACAACTTCCCACAGAATGAAGTGCAAACGGGAATCAAGGGCGAAAACCAGGAACGAAGGGTGTAAGTAGTAAAATAGGACGATGACAGAAGAAGCAGGCAAATCAGAAAAGATAACCTGACACGGGATGATTGAGCAGCAGGCAGCAAGAGCGACAGTGGATGAAGCGAGAACGGGAGAACAGCGCCGCGAGACAGTTGATGCAGTCAGTGGACGGATGTCCCGGAGCAAAACGAGGGAACAAGAGATCGTTGGGTTCGAGCGGCTGGTGTTTTGGGAAGAATCCGGACTGGCCCCTGGTCCGAGGGAGAGAAAATGAAAATGATGCCCAAGCTGTAAAGTATATTGATACAACCTAACTTGTCTAGATGCAGAAGGAAACAACTACATCTCTACCAGCTCCTTCCTACTCTACCACCCCATCACCCTTCGTATTGTACATATGTGTGTGTAATGTGTGCAGATGTAGCTTACCCATACCCATCTCTATCTCCCCACTTTCTTCGTGCCGTGTGAGCCTCCCCCTGGACTCCGGGGTTCCTGGGAGGTACAAAGTACCACAAACTGTGAGTTACCTGTGCATACATGTGAATGTCTACATACTCTACCCATACGAGTCGAGGTTACTTGTAGGTACTGCACGGCACCTGCTCTACCTACTTTACGTCTAAAGCAAAGGCAGTCGCCAATTGGCTGGCGCATCTTCCACCTGAGGCATAGTGGACTGGTAGCCAAGACAACTCTACGCGTCTTTTCTTGGGGATGTAGGTACCTACATTCTAAGCAGTCGCAACTTCCACAAGACAAAACCCAAGGCGGTCACGTAAGAAGAAACCCTGAGGAATTTCAGCAAATACCTTCAGCTTACTCCCTGGGCTGGTATTTTACCAAGCCAAGGCCATATCAAGGATTTCCAATCAGAATAAACTTTGAGGCAACGCGGGACTTCAAGATCCCGTCTTAATATGACCGCGTAATGGCTATTTTCAGCAGCCAACAACTATCTACCAGCAGCATGTCATTCAGGATCCCCGTCGAAAATCGAAGCCACTTTGGGCCATCGCGCAGCAAAACCTCCGCACCCACTCATTCACTCATCACATCACATCATCCATCCGACCCAAGCTTTTTATCAGTTTTGTCCAGTAACTGGACATTCGGTAAAGACAATAAGCTGTATGCGGCTACGCAATTCTTGCCCAAGGCTATGTGGCTAGTCCCTCGAGAGAATGCTCGAGACAGGCGTGAGCAGAATAAACAATGATCTGGACACAGTATGCATGTGTGTAGGCAAATCAGTATTTGTAAATTGTAACTGTGCCTAGGTGCCGAGAGCAGCACTGGCACAACACAGCGGGAAAAACCATTCCGTATTTTCCGTAAGCTTCCGTGTACGATTCGTTTGCGGTATGTATGTTGAAAGTATGTACCTACATCACATAAAGTGTGTAGCATAATAAGAACCAGGACTATTTACGATAGGTAATCATATTTTCCACGCTCCAAAGAGAAATGCAAGGCCGAATATCAATTTTACTGCGTACTTGGCTGTTAAGCTGAGTGTACTCTATCTGTATTTCTGCCCAATGCTCGACATATGAGGCATATCGATGCCTACTTTTGCTTAGCATACAGTGCCATACAGTGGAGCGCCCGTATCAGATTCTGTGACATTGGTCCCTCCTTGAGCTTGAGAGGTACCGACACGTATTGAAGCTGGAGTAACTTCCTCAGACAAGACAGGGTTGAGATGGATATCACGGAGCCTTCTAGGTGTTCACTGCACGCCATTTGCAACAGGCTGTTCGTGTTCACCCTATCCGGTGGCTCCATATCATAGGCTAGGCGAAGCGGTTGAGCCGAACCGAAAAAAGATTATTCCCGGCGAACAGACGGCGCTATCGGGATGTGAAAACGGCGCGGCGTTTGTGGGAAAATTGAGTTGATCAAAGCGTTACATTCTTCAAGATCCAGAGCTTCGGGAAGATCCTGCTTCTGGAAAATCTGGAAAATACATAATTCTTTCGAGAATAAGGAAGATGATAATGATGGACCGATGATGCAAGCTGCCCGAGGCTTGAGACTGCATTCTAACGTTTCTTTTCCTGAGCTCAGCTCGTCGTGCATGGATCGCCAAGGAGGCCAATATTACTGCACATCGAGCCGAAATCCAGGCTTTTTTGTTTTTCGTGCAGGCAGGCGTGGGAAGGGCTAGGGCAGACAAAGACAAGCGAACAATTGGGTGAAAGGGAGCAGGGAAGGCAAGGGCAGGCGAAGTGGAGGCTCAGCTTTAAGGAAACTATTTTTTTTCCTTGGGAGATGCCCCACGGCACCCATAATTCTATTCTACGCTTGTCCCAACACGAACTTCCCCCCAACACAAAAGGAAAATCTTTCTCTCAGCTTTTTGAGGATCTGTGAACCTACCTCTTGCCTTCCCCACCTTCACGCCCCCTGGCCTAAACATTTTTGTCTATTGAGTCTCCCTATCCCATCCTAAACCTAGTGCAAACACTCAAACAACTCCCTACCCTCAACTCAAACAAGTGAACATCTCCTGCGCCTTGCATCACGAGATCTAGAAGATCATTCATCTCTCTTATTACTTACAACTTCCGCTCCTCCGTCGACACCCCCGTTATTTATTACATTTCTTCCTTTCTTTCTTCCATCCTTCTTCGAAGATACCGTTTCTGGAAAAGCCAGTCATGCGAATTCCCTCTACCTCATCTCTGTCAGCCACAACAAACACCCTCACCTCCCTAACAGGAAGACTGCTTCCGAAGCCAGTACTCAGGGCATCTCATCTTTCACATATCAGCAGAGCATCAGTTGGGTCTCTGGTACAGAGAAATCACCTCCAAACACTCACCACCCCTATCTCAACAGCTACCTCATCAACTAGCTCATCTACAGTCACCCCATCAAATAAACAACATGTTCCGGCGTTAATACCTCGCTCTCGTTCTGCGCAGCAGAACATATTTCATCCCTCATTCTCTTTATTTGCCAAACGCCCGCCGAGGCCTTTCCCGATCCCGTTCAACTCACCCCCGGCATCTTCATTCCCGGATTCATTAAGCTCTAGTCTCGCCCGAGTTCCTCGCTCTGAAGGAGCTTCCTATCTCCGTGGAATCACCAACGGCGACGATGCAGTGGTTTACGCACGTTCCTACCTAGGTGTGGCGGATGGTGTCGGTGCTTGGAATACGAGGTCTGCTGGGCATGCAGCCTTGTGGTCACGATTAATGCTTCACTTCTTTGCGTTAGAGGTTGAAGGTGCTCCAGGCATCGTTGACCCAGTTCACTGTCTGACAAAGGCATACCATTCAACTTTACATGCAACCACCGAGTCTACCAGCTCAGTATGGCAAGGAACCACCACAGCATGTGTTGGTACACTCACTGGGAATACTTTCACGATTGCCAATATTGGAGACTCTCGCTGCTGGATCTACCGTCCATCTGCTGGCGACTTTGTCCTAAAAACAACAGAGCAGTGGCATTGGTTTGACTGCCCGAAGCAGCTAGGAACCAACTCTCCCGATACACCCGCTACTGATGCAGATGTCCAGAGCATCGAACTTGAAGATGGCGACATTGTTATCATGGCCAGTGACGGGCTTCCAGATAATCTCTGGGATCATGAGATCCTTACTATCTGTGAGGAAAACGCCGGCTCAACTGGTCCGGAGATAGCGGAACAGCTAGTTAGGGCGGCGAAGAAAGTCGCGATTGACCCATTTGGCGAGAGCCCTTACATGGAACGGGCCGTTGATGAGGGGTTGCCAGTTGAAGGAGGGAAATGGGATGATATTAGTGTTCTTACAGCAGTTTACGGGAAAGGAAGGTTTTAGATTTAGGTGTTTGATGTCTAGGCGTTTTGTTTGCTCTGTTTAACTTCTCGTTCCTTTTTTACATTTTTTATTTGACAGTATATTTTTTTAACATTTATTTTACTCAAGTCCACTTGCTGGCTCAACGGCGGTATTTGGTTAGCTTTTTTTCTTCTTTCTTTTTATGCTTTTTAGTGGGGGTTGGTCAGGGCATCGTCGATTCAACTTTCTTTTCTTTTTCTTTCATTTCTTTTGTTTTGTTTTGCTTACTCCTTCATTGCTTCTCTCCTAAAAAAAAAGTTTGAAGGGGCAAGCCGGGGCGTTCTACATTGCACGACACGGGCCGGGCTTGTTTAACATGTTTATCTGGTGGTTATTCGTTTCGTTTTAGATAGACTTTTACATAGTGTTATTTATTTTTCCACGCACTGGGTGGGGGAGTGAGGGGACCTTCATGCTTGATGATGGAATACTGGGTTCTCAATAGTTTAATGTAGGTATTATATAGATTTATCACTATCATATATTTACCCCGTTTCCCTACCTATCCGAGGAGAGCTCTGTAATTTTACCCGGGTTTCGAGTTTTGGGTTTCGACATGAACAATCACCCCAACACGAGTCAAAGTATAATTATTGCTTTTTTCTTCTAGTTCAACCACAAAAAAAAAAAAAACTCCCATTAATACATAACATTCCCGTACAATACCAGAAATTGAGGAACAATACAAAGGCGTAGATACAATTGATAACCTTTCCCCGCCTAAATAAGGAAGAAACAAAAGTAAAAAGATAAGTTAACAGGAAATCAAAAAGGCCCAGGCCCTTTCTATCCTCTTATGCATTTGACAGATAAAATCCGGTCCAATCACGAGTAAAATAGACCACCAATATCCACCTCGCTTTTTTCTATCTGGCCCGTCCCACCAAGACTTCTCTTCAAGCTCCAATCTTCGCCTGCTTCTTTGCGGCGCTCTCAACCAAAACGCCATCCTCGTCCGAGTTGACCTCACCAAGCAACTCACGCTGTGCTCGCTTTCGCTTTTCGTCCCACCATTTCCTCTCTGCCTCGGCTTGCTTGGTCACTTCATCGGTCCGGTCACGGATACGTTGAGCATTTGCCATCTCGTTTGCGGTCTGGAAAATCGTGTTACCCCAACCCTCTTTGAATGCATTTGCCTCCAATACTACGTCACGGAGCTCCTGTATGCAATTTATCAGTACATATCTCACGCTGTTAGGGGTTTTAGCTGGTAACGGACCTCTTCGATCTCTGCCTCTGCTACAGTAAACCGGGTCCACAAGTCATCACTGATGCTCCCCTTCTGAAGAAGTTGCTGCAATGACCCCTTTGCCTGTCGGAGCGCGATAATACGGCGGATGTCTTCGGTTGCACGACGAAGAAGAGCGGCTTTGAGGATGGTGTCGGGAACCTTTGTATTTTCTTGGTGGAGGAGAGTTAGGTAGACATCGCGGGCGTAGTGAGGGCCGAACCAGGGCTTCAAGGATGCTGCTTTATCTATCCGACATTTAGTCCATGCTTTCGGATGGATGAAAGATATAAGATCAACCTACTGGCTTTTCGTTTACGATAGAGACTGGAGAAGACTGCCAGGGTGCCGACGAGGACGGTAATGTACACCAGAGGTGCTATTAACGATATTGCAGTAGTGCTGCTCATTGCCGTAGTTCGAGCGATAGCAGTAGAGAATTAAGAGAGTATAGTATGGCCTTTTGTATCGTTCTGTATTGTAAGATGGTGAATATGTTTGTTATGGCGAAAGTTGTTTGTAGAGTGGAAGATGATCGATAGTTGGTGGAGGTAGCAGGGGCTTTGGAGGTGTCAATGAAGGTCAAAATCTAAATGTGTCCTCTCGCGCCTTTTAGTCACACGTGACTTGACTAGTCGGCGGTGTCAGGGTAACGCTTGCGCTTTCTTGGATACATACATGTAGTGTCCGGTAGCTGGGGATGTAGGGGTGTAAGCTTATAGCTGGTGTTTATTTTTATGTACATGTACATGTATGTACCTGCTTTTATGGTTCTGGTTGATGTTTCATTCGTACTGTATACGGTGGTGCTATTTTAGGATCGCATACATGTATCCTATAATCATGTGAGATCACTCGGTATTTATTAGTCCCAATATTTAACTATAAAATATAAACAGTACAATTGTTGTCCCAAAGAAAGTATACATCTAGTTTTAACCAAGTGCAGATACCACATATGTATCTTACTGCCACCGGTCAAAACTTCGGCTTTATTTTCTAATAACAATGAAGCCCTAGTCAAGACGGTTCGGCTCGCAAGTGTAAGTGTGGCCATAGGACATCAATGACAATAGATTTATAGTGCATAACATGCCACGAGCGTCATTTTGGGCGGTTTCCTGGCTGGCCAAACTATAACTAGAGCCTGCTCTCATAAAGCATTTGTTAGTCTGATCGATCCATCGTATGTGTATATAGGATGTATCTACGTCTGTGCTACACAGTACATTTCAGATCTGGATCTACGTACAGATGTTTATTGTTCTTCTGTTTGTAATTTTATTACGTCACGAATAAATTCACTAAAATATACTTCTGTCCACGCCCGAAATTCACACAAGTAATATACAAAAATATTACTTCGGGGCGGGGGGGGATCACAAAGGGTGAAAATGGTTCGTGGAGTGAAGGTTAGGTTAACTAGAGGTAAAAAGCTTTTGAACAGGTAAAATCATGTATCGTCAATACAGATGAAGGATATCGAAATGCAATTCATGAATTAAACAAAAAAAAAAAAAAAGGATATCGAAAATCGAGTGACTTATCATGTTTGGGTCCGTTATGGTTCAATTGCGATTAGTAAGTAACATGATAGGCTCTTGGCAGGGAAGCAATGACGCTGCCTACGACGAGGGTCCAACAGCTTCTACTGTAGCAACCTCCTTCACCTTCCCCTCCATTCGCCTCATCTGCTTTAATCACTTTCAACACCCACGCAGAGCCATCTATTATTATATCAACTCCATCAGTGAAATTCATCAAAAACTCCGCTACCCATTATGATCCTACGTTTCCGTTCACCTGATGGTTCTTGGCGTATTGACATCCAACCAACAGATGATGCTTCTGTTCTCATCACAAAGGTAACCCTTCGGGAATATATATTCAGAGCATATAAACAACCGAAGTTAATACCATCCTAGCTTGTTGAAAATTTACCAAAAGATGTTGATTCAAATTCGATCGTTATTTCTGATCGCCCGGCAAATGGGAAGACAAGGCCATTACGAGAACTGAAAGGAATGCTAATTTCTGATCTTGGGTTGAGGTTTGCTTTCACTAGAACTCCCCAAAATATTTATGGTCGCTTACGGTTTCTTGATTTCCGGGATTTCAGTCATGGAGATCAGCTTTTTCTTTCTTACGGCAAAGTCTCGGAAGTCCCAATACAAGCGCCCTCTACCACTAGCAATCAACCCGCCAGTATTCGGCTTAATGGCCAGCCAATCCGGGCATCTGACGATGTATCGCATCGTTTAACTACAACTACAAATGACTACACCTCTCACGATAACACCCCTAATCCCTGGGAAACTGTTGTTCAGGACCCTGTCGATGACTTACTTGAAAAACAAGATGGAAAGATCCCTAGGCCACGAGACAGATTATGCAAGCACGGCGCGAAGGGAATGTGTGATAACTGCATGCCTTTGGAACCATACGATGCGGGCTATCTATCTGAGAGGAAAATCAAGCATTTAAGCTTTAATTCCTACCTGAGGAAGACGAATGCTAGTACCAACAAACCTGAGCTAAAGACCTCATACATGCCTCCTCTATCTGAGCCCTTCTTCAGAGTTCGCAAGGATTGTCCGTCAGGACACCCTGCGTGGCCTGAAGGTATCTGTACGAAGTGCCAACCATCTGCGATTACTTTACAACCTCAGACATTTAGGATGGTAGACCATGTGGAGTTCAGCGATCCAGCGCTGATCGATAACTTTATAAACTTTTGGAGACAAACAGGATGTCAAAGAATTGGTTATCTTTACGGACGTCTAGAACCCTATTCTGAAATCCCACTGGGGATTAAAGCGGTTGTCGATGCAATCTATGAGCCACCACAGGTGAACGAAATGGATGGTGTTACGTTAACCTTACCCTGGGAAGGAGAGAAGGATGTAAACGAGATTGCAGCACTGTGCGGCCTTCGAAAAGTCGGTGTGATCTACACCGATTTGCTCGATGACGGGACTCAAACGGGTAAAGTAGTCTGTAAAAGGCACATTGATTCTTACTATCTTTCTTCCCTCGAGATTGTGTTTGCAGCTAGGCTCCAGGCTGAAAATCCCCATCCAAGCAAGTGGTCCGAAACTGGCTGGTTTGGGTCCAGTTTTGTTACGTGCGTTGTCTCTGGAGATGAGGATGGCGGAATCAATGTGTCATCCTATCAAGTCTCCAACACTGCAGTCGAAATGGTCCGTGCAGACATCATCGAACCCTCCGCGGACCCATCAGTTATGATGGTTAGAGAAGAGGATGATAGGTCACGTTATATTCCTGAGGTCTTTTATAGGCACATCAACGAATATGGAGCCAACGTCCAAGAAAACGCAAAGCCAAGTTTCCCGGTAGAATATCTACTAGTTACCTTGACGCATGGATTCCCTGTTGAAAAGCGTCCGATGTTCACGGCTCCTCTTGGTCAGTTTCCCGTGGAGAATAGGGAACTCACGGGTGCATCTCAGGACCACCGCGCAGTGGCAAAACAATTAGGCATTACAACTTCAAGCGGAAACGAACCACAAGGCGGGATAGATGTCGTCAGCGATTTCCATCTTCTAACTTTTTTGAAAAACTGGGGTATTCTTGACAAGGTTAGTGTTACACCGGGTGCCGTTTCTGGTTAGTATTTTATCGAGTGATTGCTGATGATCAAATTCTCATCGCCTCGTCCTCGCACATGCGGAGTGAAGGGGCAAGAGAAAAACAAAATTCATTATAGAAAGAAGAAGAGTTATTAGCAAAGGTGGCAACTGGTCACGATGTTATTGATGGGCATCAACTCTTACAAATGCCCGGATGGCAAACTCTGATGACGATACTCCGGGAGAGCGGTGAGAGCGCCCCTAGAAAACGTGTTTTTGATTCGCCCTCCAGCTTTCATTTTGGCGGCGGAGACGGCAAAAACGGTAATGACCGGAGCTTGGCTAAACGTTTGAGGGCGGTCAGCTTAAAATAATTTGGTCAACATCCATCCAACCTACACATCTCGCCTACAAGGATCAAAAAAATATAGCGTGGCCATTTGCTCGATGGACAAACGACCAATTACTACTTCTCTTCAAGGATGTCGAAAACGGGTAAGGATAGTGGGGTGGCTTCGATATTTGCGCTTGATCGTGTATTATACCTGGATACCAGGGACAAAGGAAATGGTTAATATAGGATCAAGAGATATTGACGGATTTCAGTTTAATGCTACCATGGGGTTTTATTCGCATTGCTTTGGTTTGTTAGAGAAACTCATGGACTCATAAAACTGAATTTATTAAATTAAGTAATATTCCATGAGCACAACTCATTTGAATTCAATGTATAGAAAGGCGGGCCCGGCAACCCGTGGGTTTTAATTGACTATTTCACTAGATAAGTAAGTTTATCACGCGGATACTGCATGCATTTAGAGCATGGGTCTATATTTATATACTTGGTTTAATGGGTAGTGTTACATGCGCAAGGAAGGGACCTCTGGTATAATGTAGCCGGAAGTTATCGCCTTATGATAATCACCGCTGCATCAAGTGATAAAGCTATCATGAGTTATTGCTTGTGATCCAAGCGCGGTTGGGGTCCGTGAACAATCGGTAACCTACAGCCCATAAAGCGCATTGAAGTGAAATAAATAGAGACTCTTCCTACTCATCAAGGGAGAAGTATGCTCCCAATATCAGTATGCAGACGTGCGACGCCTGCCATCTCATTTTAGTATATTAATGCCTGCCGTGTGGGCGCTGAAAGGCATATAATTCCCAACATCCAATAATCCGTTTACAAGCTATAGGGTATGACTACGAATTGTCGCAACTGCCATAAAGACCTCGCTGTGGATGTACATACATAAAACCGCCTTCCTCGTGGCATTTTCCCATGTTAATTTTGAACGGTGGAACTATATGTGGATTAGTAAACCCCTTTGGAGCTGCTATATTTTGATGTTTTGTGGCTGGAGGTACAAGATTAGCGGGAGGTAATAGATTGTATCTGGACGCCAGCACCACATGTATGGCTACACTAAATATATTCTCCCATATCATAAGTTATTGGCTAGGTATCGGGTATCTGCAATTCGAGCGGTGTGTTTGGCCAAGAAGAAGTGATGGATAGCTGTGTGCGAGTGTAGATCGATGTGCCTCAATCAGTGTTCTTTCTGCCACGGCAAAAAGGGAAGTTTTGCCAAATTCTTACGTCGTTAACTACACTCACAACCAAGCATGTAAGAGCAATTTTTTTTCCTTTAAATTATCTGAGCGGGTTAGGGTATGGAGGTAGGTATTTTATGGGTCTCCAATGTTGCGATAAATGCACTTACTAATGACCCACTAACTGGGGTTAAAAACCTTGACAACCCGATATTCTCGAGTGACAAATCATGATTCATTACCACACTTAGAGGGTTAAAATTAAATATCTCACAAAAGTTAATATAACGCCCGTAGAACTATAAAATACAAGATCGAATCGAATTGAAGGGATGATTTCTTGATTTCATGGTTTCTTGGCAACTACCAACTTACTCATCATCTATTGGAGCTATATCCGCCCATATTCTAATTTCCACGGGCCAGGTACGCCATCCATACGGCCATCCTTGTTCATCTCTTTTGCACTTATTGAAGCCTATCATGCCACGTTCTAATTCTAATTGCTTGTATTTCCTCTCGCTCATGCTCAGCTCAGCTCAGCTGGACCCTGCCATGTTGGAAATCGGAAACAGAGCGCTACCATCGCATCGATAGAGGGAAGGACGATAAGGCGGAGATGGCCGCAGCCATTTTATTTAAAATTCCATAGTCAGTGCGTGCCGTCAAGGCATTCGAGGGTTTAGTTAATTGGATTGTATATACTGTAACGATATTTCGTCATAAGGAATAATTTTTAATGGTGGGTATAGACCCCTCTAATTCGATCCGGTCAGTGATTGTAGAAAACAAAAGATCGAAATCAAAGGACAAATGGTAAATTTGGTGTTGCGATGAGTTACATATGTATGTAGCACTGTACTGGTGGATCTTAGATGACATGAGCCACGCATAAGTGGCAGATATAACTGCATTGAATTCGATAAAACAAATGAATATGTAGAAGAAAAAAAACTACTTGAAATGCAATAAACAGTAGCTCTTCTAGAGGGATAGGCTTTGAGTTTCCCAAGATGCCGTTTTATGGAGATGAACGCGTGTAAGAAGCTTACTACAATTGTTGGGTATCTTGCAGGAAATAATCTGCTGAGGGGGGGATCTCCCGGAGTGGCCGATAACAGTGAAACTTCGCACAGCATCATTAATACACAGTAAAATAACCAAATTCGTATGAAATAAATATTGAGGTGAGAGATGGGACACCAAGCACGAAATCCATGAGTAAAAATCAGACCCGTATATAAACTCCATATGAAATGCAACACTCAAGAAATATACAGCCATGTACAAACCAATCACTGAGCGTCTCATTCGGCATTTATGAGTTCTCGTCAATATCCGTCCACTTCGCCGTAATCCCCGCCCTCTTGACCTTCGCAACCTCCCGGTTCTTCTTGGTCCTTTCGAGCCGTTCCGCACGGAGACATTTATTGACGTTTCTTTTTGCTTGGTTGCACATTCCAGATGCTTTCCAGAGAAATCCGCGTGCATGGCACTCATCGAGGATTGCCATCACCTCCTCACAACCTAAGTGGCGTATTGATCAGTTATTGTGGCAAGTGAAATTGGGAATTGGGAAAAATGATGGAGAAGAAATGATAGATACCTCTGTTGTCTTTGGTATGTAGGTGGGGATGCATCTTGTTAGGGCGCTTCTCAGAGGATGTTCAACGTCAATTGCAGATGAGGTTGAGGATGAGCCTTTACCGCTGAATCGGGAGAGGCGTTTATGCATCCCGCCAAGACCACCATGCAAGGACTGTGCTTAGCTCATCGCGGGGAGCTTTAGAGAAGAGCCGCGTTTTTGGAACCTCTGCCCGCAACTTGCCCTTGCCCCGCCTAAAAGTACGCGAGAATCTCCCCCTGACTAGCATCGCCTACGACCGAACATCTCACGAGGTGCTAAAGAGCTATGGCCACCCCCGCAGCTGCGAAGAAGCAGCAAGGTACGGACCCCACCCTTTCTTGTGTAAAACTTTGCTAATGGGGAAATTGAGTGCGTGACAGAGTTACAACTTCAGTACACCAACTACAAAAATACTCTACAACAACTTGCGCAGAAAATCGGAGACGTTGAGCAAGAGGCAGAAGAACATAAGTTTGTTCCCCTTAGGATCATCACAATGGCATTTTCTGAATTGCCTTGTGTCTCGCCTGTCATTTCACTGACAATGCGATGTTCACACGGCGCAGACTAGTCTTGGAGACCCTCGCGCCCGTCCCGGAGGACCGAAAATGTTTCCGCCTGATCAATGGGATTCTCGTTGAAAGGACGGTCGCGGATGTAATTCCGGCTCTCAAGACTAATGCAGAGGGATTGAAAAGTGTTCTGGAAGGGTTGGTGAAGGAGTACAAGAAAAAACAGGAAGAGATGGATAAGTGGAAGGTACGGACGGCACTTCCCTTTCCTTTGCTTCTGCTTCGCCAATATCTCGATGATTGTCATCATGATTCCTTACCCCTTTATTCTTCTCACCCATTCTTTCTTATCACTTGTCAATTGCGCTCAGCCTTGATGCGCTCTTCTCTCCGATCAGAGCATGATCTTTGCTATCCAATCTTTTCATCCAATCCCTCATATACCGGTCCCTTTTCTCGTTTGGGTGCAGCAACGCTGACGAGTTTAATTGAAAACAGACCAAGAATAATGTACAAGTGGTGAATCAGTGATTCTCGTCTTTTTACTGGATCTCTCAACCACGACCAAGGACTTACCTGTGCATACCTGGGTGTTTAGAGTGATCATAATTGATTTGTACACACGGGCATGCAGTCTATTCTGGTATGTCCGTGCCGTCATCGACGGTGAACAACAACGCAATTGTTTCTTGTAATGACTCTGCCCCTCGCTGCTTCAGTTGTAGAGTAAACGTTTTTTGTCTGCCGGCCTGCTTGCCTGCCTGCCGGTTTGCCCTGTGTCTTTACTAGACCCTGACGAAGGCGTGGAACCAGCGAAAAAAGAATACATTTTTCAGCTCTCGTTTGAAACACAAGTAACCCCTACATGATGCATCTTGTGAAGCAGATGATTTTCGGAACCTTGCATGATATAATCCTTTTGGTACCTACTCTAGTCCCTTGTATCCTATTCGTATATATTTTTTGCGATGAGCTTTGTATGATGTGAACAGACTCCCGGGTTTCCTCGCAGGGGCTGCAGATTGAGCCGCCTATCGTGAAATCGGATAACGCCATGGACAGGGGTTGCTGTCCGATTAACATCCACCCAGAACCATAATTCATGATGTGTGGGGGAGCCCAGTGCCAAAGGCCACAGAAAAAAAAATCCATCATGTTGCTGAGTTGGCCGTGGCTGAGCCGCCCACGATCTGTCAAAGGTGTCAGAAAGCTAGAAAAAACAAAGGCTACTATTTCCAATATCTGCCGATGACGTTTCGTTCGTCCTTTTCAACCTTGTTTTGGGTACAATGCACCTTAAATGTACTAGACATAGACACGCCGATTGATGTGTTGTCAGTTCTCGATTTCTGGATGCCGTTCTTTTTTTTTCTGGGTCCGTTTTTTTTCTTCTTCCCTTCTTTTGGCCCCAGCATGGTTGACAGAAAAGCTTCGGTTCTTAGTTGGCCCATAATTATTCATCTTGGTTGCACAACACGTACTGTACGTATGTAGGCATGTAGAGCACCCCCGCCCGCCCCACACATGCAGACCAAACCCATCATCCTCTTCCTGTCTTTTGGATGATTTTTTTTTCTCCCTCTATTTGGTGTTCGTCTCAGAGTGATCGACGCACGTCCCTCCCAGGTATGTTTCCGGACCCGACACAAAGGAATTGGATGGAAGTTTTTCGACCGAGTGAATGATAGGATTCCTCCCCTTTCTGCAGTGCAGACCATCCTCACATACATGTTCCTTCAAAACAAATATCCTTGCACACACCAACTGGCGAATATCTGTGTCTGAAGGAAGCAGAGCTAAAACCTGAAACACTCCCTCGAGGTTTTGAGTGTGAGGTGTACTTGTGGAGTTCTTTAGAATATTTATTCCCCTGCACGTCGTTAGACAAACCGTAAGGCTGAAACACGCACGGGAAGCGGGGTTCTGGGTTTCGGAAGTCCGCGGCGGCAGCTTGTTGCCGTCATCGCGTTGATTGATTTGTATCATCCGAACCGAAGAAGCAAGGCGTTATTCTGCCGTACTTATCTGTTAGAGCAACTGACCCTGCCTTTCCTTCTACAACGCATTGATATGCTGATATCGCTGTCGGAGGTCTTATTGCAGAGCCTGTCTTTATTTTTTTCCCTTAGGTGCATTTGGGACCGTGAATCATTTAGAATATCTTTATTTTTAAAAGGCTAGGCATAGGTCACTTGGCCACGCAAACAACTGTTCGTTTACAAAGAAAAATGTCCAACTAGGGGCTCATGTTCAAACGTCGGCTCTTGTTGGCAGGGTGTATGTTTTGCTTCGTCAGTTTCGTATGCGGACAATTGTGGAGAGATCAAAGCAGAGAATGCCATGCCGGGACGCCTGTCGTGTCATCATCATGCCGTGCAGTTCAAGCCAAACGGTTCATGATTATTACTGATCACTCTGCTGCTGCTGCGGACCAAACAAATTGCTGCTGTACCTTTTTTTCTCGTACCTGTTTTTTATTTTTTGTTCCGTAGGTTAGACGAGTGATGATGCCGAAGGAGTTTCAGGATGGATGGAGGGATGGATGATGGTGAAAGGAAGGGAGATGATGCGACGGGGGGGGGAGATCTGTTATTACGGTTGTCGTTCTCATATCTACTCATATCGTGATTGTACTTTAGTACATGTAGTCTTATGTGCGAGTAGTTACTCTAGTTTGGCTAGCGTGGAAGGGATTTTGAGGCTTCTGGAACTCGAGACGACCTCCACTCTCCAGTGACGGAATTTCGCTGCCCACCATAACGTGTCCTGCCATCAGACGATAACCTATCAAACGTCACGGCTCCGAAAAAAAATGGTCCCCTGGCAGATCTACCAGGAAATGTTATGAGTATCGACTGCATTTTTCTGGTACTTGGGTAAGATATTCGTGGTTGACGTTCCACACAACGACCACATAATATACGGAGGTCTCAGGTGGACGTACTCTATTCGGGTTGTCTCTGTTACACAGGGCCTGCACAGGACTACCCTGGACATGAAAGGACACACCAACGTATCAAGGAAGCCACCAGAGGAAAATACGCGCGAGTGTTGTCCACTGGTTGAACTTCAGGCTGAGACCTTAGACTTGTCGCTTTGGGGAATTTGTTTTTATTTTTTGTTGTTGTTTTTCGTAGACAGGACACGGTGGAGGGCTTCTGCATCCATCTCATCCAGTTTTCTCTCAGCAGGGACTCCGGAGGAAGAAGCACCAAGTTTTTTTTGTTGCTGTTTGAGTATTGTTATTCACGCTTTTTCGTTTGATTTTGAGGCTCTGTGTGCTTGGTTCCAGTATCACGCGTTCGTTGACCGCCATTCCATTTCGATTTCAATTCGGTTTATACGGGGTCCTTCCTTTTTTCCTTTTTCCTTCTTCCCAGTACCTACCACACCACCGCATCTTCATCGCGACACAACTACCTACGTATCAATATCAGGTATTGTGCATAGGACATACCTCTTACTGCCGGCATTCCCAAACACCCCCCTCCATTTCCAATATAGCACTGCATTGAGTGAGAGAGACCATAGTGTAGTTAGCTGCTTCATCCTGCCTACTGCTGCTGTGCGCGTGGCTGCTCGCTGGTCCCCCGCTCCCAGTACATCGATTCTAATTCTCACACCCACACCCACACATCTTCTTTCCATTCCCGCACCCGCACCAGTACTGCCGTCACAAGTGCGTACCCCTCCGCCCATTACCAGCACAGTGGTTCGGGAAGAGCGCACACCAGACAACCAATACCAGTGACGTGTCTGCCAGCGAACCAGCTAGCTAGCACAGTTAACGCGCTGTCCCTGACTGCCAGTTTGTGTGAACACAGCGACAGTACTTTACATCATGTCGGCTTCCCCCTCGAAGGACCTGGAGGTGGAAGTCGGAGCACAGTCGCCTGACGAACAGGAGCACATGGATAGAGATCAGCCGGAAACGTCGCAACCACCGCCTGTGTTTGATTTCGAGGTCAAAGAACAGGACCGATGGCTGCCAATTGCAAATGGTGAGTCAAAGTCAAGTTTCTCGCGTATCTTAATTGCCCTGCCTGCCTGCCATGCCCTGGTTTATTTATGCTTGTGAGGGGAAAAGAAGGAACGCCTCCATCCCCCGCCCCCGCACTCCGCTCCCCTCCCATTTGTTGGATTTACTCCCTTTCTCCCCCCCTTCCCTTCCACACCCCTCCATCCCTAAAAAAGCGTTGCTTCTCCGCGCTGGGCCGTTTCCGGGACACTGCAAGGCATACGGAAAGTCAAGATATTCCTCGAAATAATGCCTACAACCTGCTCAAGATCTGACTTGCCGGTCTTAACTTTGGAAAAAGAGAGAGCGACATCGCCGCAAACTGTACTCGCAGATGCTGACATTCGAAATTTTGCTCCAGTTGCTCGAATCATGAAAACAGCGTTGCCAGAGAACGCCAAAATTGCAAAGGAAGCAAAGGAATGCATGCAGGAATGTGTGAGCGAGTTCATATCATTTATAACCAGCGAGGGTATGTTGATTTTTACTTTTTTGATTTTTTTTGTCCTAATTCCTACCGGTGGTGTTGGCGTTATATACAATATATATGACATATCTCGAGAGGAGATGTTTCATTGGTGGCAGGGAATTTTGTTTTATACAAGACTGCGATTCCCTGCACACGCATCGATATCTCAGCTCAGGAACGAATAATGTTTTCTTGACATCTGATCTGACGAATCGGCTAATTTCCCTGCCACGTGCGTCACAGCATCCGAAAAATGTCAACAAGAAAAACGCAAGACTGTCAACGGCGAAGATATTCTGTTCGCCATGACATCCCTGGGATTCGAAAACTACGCAGAGGCCTTGAAGATATACCTCGCCAAGTATCGCGAAGTAAGTTGACCCGAGCTTAAGCTTTTTTCTTTCTTATCTTGTTTTTTTCCCCCGACATATATATTTTGGTCGAAAACAGAAGGTTGAACATGACAATTGATTGGCATGGGAAGTCGCAATCTCAGAGGAACCAGTCAGAGGGGGGGTCGAGGGGCGGTGGGGGGTACGGAACAGGGAATGCAGTTGGCACAGCAACATCATCATCATCCACCTACAGGGGGAGATCCGAGAGCGCCAACCAGACGTTAACCCCACCAATGGAAGGAGACGAACACCATCAGTATAACGATGTCTACGGTAACGGAGACGGACCCTACTAGCGTGTTCAAGGACCAACTTCAGGATATAGTGCCTGTTTGGAGGCGGCGGAGTCGTTGTACCATATGAGGAGCGAAAGGGCCGATTACGAATTTTCTTACTCTTCTCGACAATCATAAACACATACGCACCATTCTCGAGGTCGTGTGGAAGACGGAGTAGCGGCACGTTTTTTGGAGTCCCATCGGTGGGCGTTGGTTGGGACGTGTAATATGTTCGAGAAAGTGTGTCTAGAAGGGCGACCGACCGCTTATCACGCCACAAAAAAGGTTTATTTCTTTAAAGGGGGGTTATTCCTTTTTTTTCAACTTTGAAAGAAGAGCATTTCATAACCGGATTTCTATTGTCACTTATTAGACTTTCGCTCACATCTCGTTTCCTGGTGGGGGTTTTTCCTATTAATCCAAGACATAATGCTGGTTTTTCTTTTTTCATTATCACCCGCTTACCCTATTTCATTTGTTGCTTTCGTTTTTCATTTTTATTGGGAGTTTTTGGCTTTGAAGTCGGTGAAGAGTGGGAAGGGGGAAAAAAAAACTCAAAACGGGGCAAGAAAAAAGAGGAAGTCAAGAAAAAACGAAAAAAAGAAGGAAAAAAAGAGGGACGGACATTCGTTAGCTTCATTAGCATTTTGATTACTGAGATCTTATTTCACTTTTGGGGGTTTTTAGGTTTTGTGGTGTATGTATGATAGAAGCCATCTCTTGCACACAAATGGAGTTTTTGTTGTTAGTCATAGCTACCCATATTCAAATCGTTCTCTAGTCTATATGGGAAATCTACTGCAATAAAGCTGGGTTCTATGCTCGGAGTTCATTGTTTCTCTGTTTCGAGAACGTTTCCTCGTGTTAACTACATGTATCAATGATCTATACTACACCTTTTTGTTTTGTGTAGCAACCAAGATTTACTCTAAACCTAAAATGATATTAGTACCTACATAGAGTTACTGTATTGGTGGTCTGGTCTTGGCATTGGCATTGGACGCATACATGTAGTTTTTGACTGTATAGATGGGACGAGCCAATAGCTAAATGTGTTTTGGCATGTATGTAGTAACTTAAGCCTGAATACTGTATTTTACTTCACGATTTGAACTCAATGACAGCCTCCTTTATTCGTATTAAGCATTGTATATATCTCATTGACAATTACTGGCGATCATTATGGAGTATAAGGGTTTCTGGAGTCTCCGTGTAATATCTGATATCAACTAGTATTCCGCGGCCGGAAGCACATGACATGAAGGAGTCGTATGAGGGAATGAATGGAGCAAGAATACATGTATCTTATGTGATGTTGGCTTTCATTTGACATTAACCTAGAGTAATTCAAAGAATACAGATGATTATGCACGATCGTACTAATACTACACCCAGAGTGCGATTGCACGTCACTTTAGCTAGTGCGTATATATACTGGCTAGCTAAGAAATCTCACGTAAATAGATATTTTCATGGTTAATGTAGAAAGTTAATTAACGGTCGGGAAAGAGACTGCTTATTGTACTGTATGCACATGCGCATATAATACAGTACTAAGAAAGGGATTTAATAGGAAGTACGGAATTGTGCTCGCGTGCACATGTATAAAGTGGTGATCAGGATTCTATAGCTAATACCGCAGTCTTATGTTATTCTGATTGAATACATTATATCTAGGCTTTTTTATGGTGACAGGCTTTCATTAAAGAGCTCCATGGCATTACTAGCGATGCCGGAATCTTTATTGATCATGTGATCGGTTGCCTTCACAAATCCATCCAATACGAGTGTCACGTGATCAATAAAGATTCCGGCATCGCTAGTAGTGCTAGTAAAATCTAGGGTCTAGGGTTCGCCGATAGGTGGGGTCTTGGCGCGCTAGGCTTCTTCCGAGTGAGCACCCAAAAAAATTTCCAACGTACCTGTAGTTTCCCACGCAACACCACGGCGGAAAACCTCGATTCGCAAAGAAGTAAATTTGCGACCACCTAAAGAAGAAACCACCAATGGCACCCGAAAAGAAACGAAAGCGTCCTCAAGAAGGCGCCGAATCTAGCCCCGCAAAAAAACCTCATGTTAAGAAATCCGAATCCGCTGCGATAACAGCTCCCGCAGCACCCACAGCGCCTTCAACACTGCGGTCTATGAAAGATGACGAGAGTTCATTTCCAAGAGGCGGCGCGAGTGCGTTGACACCTTTGGAATTTAAGCAGGTCTCGAATGAGGCAGCCAGAGACGTTTTATTTGAGTCCGGGGGTGCTGGAAAAACTAGTGGTGAAGATGGCGGGATAGCGCTGAAGAAGGGTAAGAAGAAACCAAAAAGGTCAAGGGAAGAAAAGAAGGAGAAGAAGGAAGATCAAAAAAAAGAGGACAAAGGCCCGTATCCAGAGGGATTGAGTTTCAAGGTAAGTTCTAATGCGAAAATAATTGGGGTTTGACTAAAAGGTTTCTGTGACGGCAGAGATTGGCTTCCGGAATGCTAATCCTCGGATGCATTTCGAAAATCAATGCTACGGATTTAGCGATAGCATTGCCAAATAATCTTACTGGCTTCGTCCCACTCACCTCGATTTCCGAGACATTCACTAAAAAAATCGAATCCCTTATTGATGAGTCTGAAGACGAGGCCAGCGAAGAGGAGCAAGAAGAGAAGGGATCTCTATCCAAAGATGAGAAAGATGCCTTCGATCTCAACGCAATGTTTCGTGTTGGCCAATATCTTCGCACATACGTCGTTCATTCTATCGAAGATGTCGCCACGAAAGCCGGCTCTTCCGGCGACCAGAACAAAACCAAACGACGCATTGAACTTTCCCTCGATCCATCACTCGCTAATTCTGGACTCACACCTGGCGATTTGGTAGTAGGCTGCACAGTTCAGGCCTCAATTTCCAGTGTTGAAGATCACGGATTAGTTATGGAACTTGGCATTAGTGAGGGTATCAAAGGATTTTTAACAAAAAAAGAACTTGGTCATGACTTTACAATGGCTAAGGCCACCCAGGGACAGGTCTTGCTCTGTACAGTCACTGGAATTGGATCTAATGGAAAAATTATAAAGCTCTCTGCGGATCTTGAACAGAAGCCTAGTAAGAAAGGAAAAATTGCCGGGGGCAAGGGTGCCTGGTGGGTCAGCCAGGCGCCAACAATCAATGCTTTTCTCCCCGGAACAGGCGTCGAGGTCCTTGTTACCGAGGTTGGAAAGAAGGGTGGTCTTGTTGGCAAGATAATGGGCATGCTTGATGCCACTATTGACTATTTCCATATTGCAGGATGGAAACCGGAAGAGCTCGGCGAGAGATTCAAGATCGGAGAAAAGGTATCAAGCCTTTTCTAAGTCTACGGTTTTTACTCTATTCACTAATATAAATAGATCAAAGCACGAGTAACTATCACCTTCCCCAGTTCCGACCCCCAGAAGGTCGCCATTTCAGTTCTCCCCCATATTCTCGCGTTCACTCCTCCCGCCGAAAAAGACCTTTCAACCACTTTCCCTATCGCAACCATTCTCCCTACAGCAAAGATCATCGATGTAAAGCCTAAAGTTGGTTTATTTTTAGAAACCGGCATTTCGGGAATTCCGGGTTTTGTTCACATCTCACGAGTATCATCGGAAACAAAGGTTGACGATTTGAGCAAAGATAGTGGCCCATACAAACTAGGAACAATTCACGAAGCAAGAGTTATTGGGTTTAACGCTATGGATGGGATATATCTATTATCTACGGAAAAGAGGGTCTTAGAGCAGCCTTACTTGAGGATTGAAGACATCAAGATTGGGGAGACAGTGAAGGGCAAAATCCAAAAAGTCCTTGAAAGAGGTGGGGTTACAGTGAATATTGCGGACGGAATCAGCGGGTTTGTCTCGGAAGATCACTTAAGTGATGTGAAACTGAAGAGCCCAGAGAAGAAATTCAGAGAAGGAGTTGAGGTTCGATGTAGGGTATGTTGGATTGATCCGTTTATATTTGGATGATCTAAAGGCTAATCACGGGACCCATGTAGGTGCTTTCTACAAATCCCGAGAAACGCCAGCTCCGCCTCACCTTAAAGAAGACACTCGTAAACTCGGATGCCCCTCTTATTTCCGATTATGAGTCCGTTACCCCTGGCATCCGCTCTGTGGGTACTCTTATCAAGATCATGGCCCAAGGCGCTATCGTCCAATTCTACGCCGGGGTTTCTGCCTACCTTCCTGTTTCTGAAATGTCGGAGGCGTACATCCAAGACCCGAAAGAACACTTTCGAGTAGGGCAGTCTGTCAACGTACATATTCTCTCTGTCGATCCTGAAAGCAAAAAGATGAGGGTATCTTGCAAAGACCCTAACTCGTTTGGCGAGGAGCAAAAGGAGGCACTGAAGGCACTCGAACCTGGCAGTCTTGTGAGTGGGACTGTGGTTGAGAAGAGTGATGATGATCTAATCGTGGAGATTAAGGGTGGATTAAAGGGGGTACTGATCGTTGGTCAATTGACTGATGGGAGTAGGCAAAAGAATGTAAATGCTTTCAAGAAGTTGAGGGCAGGTCAAACGCTGAGTGATTTGGTGGTTTTGGCGAAGAATGAAAAGAGGAGGCTAATCACATTGAGTATGAAACCGAGTCTTGCCAAGGCTGCGAAGAGTAAAGAACTCCTTGGCTCTTTTGAGGATGTTGAAGAAGGGAAGAGTGTGAAGGGCTGGGTTTACAACATCACGCTCGCTGGGGTTTTCGTGGCGTTTGCAGGTGGTCTAGTCGGGTTGGCTGTCAAGAAGGATCTTCCGACTGAAGTACAGTCATTACCTGACTTCAAATACGTCAAAGATCAGTCAGTAACCGCGAAAGTCACACGGGTCAACCAAGAGAAGAGGAGGTTTTTCCTCTCTTTGAAACCCGAAAGCGAACTTGAAGTCAGAGAGCCCAAGGAGCCCAAGGATCCAAACCTTGTGACTCCTATTAACCCTGTAGATGAGAAGATGACCTCTCTCGCCGACTTTACTCCCGGAACTGTCACGAAAGTGGTTATCGTATCTGTGCAGCAGACCCAGATTAATGTCAGGCTTGCAGACAATATTCAAGGCCGTATTGACGTCTCTCAGATTTTCGATTCGTGGGAAAGCATCAAAAATAAGAAGAGTCCCCTCGAGTCTTACAAAAAGGGCGACGTGATTCCCGCTAAAATCCTCGGTATTCATGATGCTCGCAATCATCGTTTCCTAGCTATAACACATAAGACATCCAACACAAAGACGCCGATCTTTGAGTTGTCCGCGAAGCCAAGCGTTGTTGCGAAGGGGAGCTTAAACATCTTGACGATCGATCAAGTCACCCAAGGCTCTAGCTGGGTCGTGTTTGTGAACAACATAGCCGAAGAGTGTGTATGGGTGAATATCTCGCCCGACATTCGTGGTAGAATTAGGAGACTCGACCTGTCTGAGGACGTTTCGCAGCTTAATGATCTCCCCAAAAATTTCCCTATAGGTTCTGCGCTCAAGGCCCGCGTACTAAGCGTAGACACCGAGCACAAAAAACTTAATCTCTCAGCGAGGCCCTTATCCGCTTCAACCTTAACATACGATCAGCTTAGTAAAGGAGTGGTTGTACCAGCCCGAGTCACTAAGGTTTCGGACCGCCAGGTCATCGTTCAACTTAGCGAGTCTGCCTCTGGACCAATAAACCTCACAGATATCGCGGACGACTTCTCCGAGGCCAAAGTCAGCAACTTCCGCAAGAATGATATCATTCGCGTTTGTGTACTCGATTTAGACAAGCCGAACAAGCGGATTACACTTTCGGCAAGGCCATCAAGAGTGCTATCTTCCACTCTGACAGTTAGGGACCCGGAAGTTCAGACCATCGCGAACATCAACGTTGGGGATGTTAGGAGAGGCTTTGTTAAAAATGTTTCTGATAAGGGACTATTCGTTTCTCTTGGTGGGAACGTTACTGCCTGGGTTAAGGTCTCAGACCTTGCAGATACGTTCTTGAAAGACTGGAAATCGATGTTCACCGTGGACCAGCTTGTTGAGGGTAAAATTGTTGCCGTTGAGAAGACTTTGGGTCATGTTCAGATGAGCTTGCGACCTTCCGCTATCTCAGGTGAGCTCAAGAAGCAGACTCAGCTCTCGGAATTGAAGGCTGGGCAAATTGTTACTGGACGAATCAAAGGAGTTGTTGATTTTGGTGTCTTTATACAACTCGATAACGCTGCAACTATCAGTGGCCTGTGTCACAAAACTCAGATCGCTGATGGTGTCGTCGAAGATATTGGCAAGCTGTATGCAGAGGGCGATCCAGTGAAGGCAAAGATTCTAAAAGTAGATGTACAGAAGGGAAGGGTAAGCTTTGGGTTGAAGGCGAGCTTTTTCGAGGATGAAGATAGTGATGACGATGCTTCAGACGGTGGGGTTGAATTAGATGATGAGGACAGTGACGGAGAGGAAGATAGTGATGAGGATGGTGATATCAATCTTGAGGATGTTAAGGTATACACATACTCATTGATATCTTTAGAACTATCTAGTGCTAATACATTCGGTAGGATTTTGACAGTGACGCCGAGGAATCAGATAAAGGTGGAGATGTTGATATGGAAGACGCCCCCGTGCTCGCCGTTGGCGAAGGACTGAGTGCTGGCGGTTTCGACTGGACTGGTAGCATCCTCGATAAGCGGGAGCATGACGCTGCCTCAGAATCGGAGAATGACGGCGACCAAGATAAGCAGAAGAAAAAGAAGAGGAAGAAGAGTAAAATTAAGGAAGACATGACTGGGGATATGGCGACTCGTGAACCTCAGTCTGTCGCTGACCACGAACGGATTCTTCTTGGTGACCCGAACAATTCCGTGCTTTGGATTCAGTACCTAGCTTTCCAGTTGCAACTCAGTGAGATTGAGAAGGCAAGGGAGATTGCAGAGAGGGCGATAAAGACTATTGATGTCAGGGAAGAAAAGGAGAAGCTGAATGTTTGGATTGCAATGTTAAACATGGAAAATGCGTATGGAAATGATGAGACCCTACAAGAGACATTCAAGAGGGCCTGTCAATACAACGATTCTCAGGATGTGCATGAAAGGCTGGCTAGTATCTATATCCAGAGTGGAAAAACGGAGGTATGTTATCAAAGTAAGATATCACATTTGAAGAGGGGTTAATCTTTTTACAGAAAGCTGGTGATTTATTCAAAGTCATAATCAAGAAATTCTCCCAGGATCCAAAAGTCTGGGTTAACTACGCCGACTATCTCCTCACAAATAGCAATAGAGAAGAGGCTAGAGAGTTACTCAAACGCGCCATGCAAACCCTTCCTCAATCCAACCATAAGGATCTTATCACCAAATTTGCCAAGCTCGAATTCAAGAATGGTGATCCTGAAAGGGGAAGAACACTTTTTGAGAACTTATTGGGTACTTTTAACAAGAAAAACGACCTGTGGAACGTATTCCTGGATGTTGAGATGAAGTATGGAGGTGAGAGCGACGATAATAAGGAAACCGTCAGGGAATTATTCAGAAGGCATTGGCAGAAGATAAGTGCTCAGCACGTCAAGCTAGAGGGCTATTCAAGAAATGGATGGAATATGAAAAGAAGGTTGGCGATGAAAAGAGTGTAGAGGTTGTCACAAGGAAAGCGAAGGAGTATGTTGACTCTAAGAAAGGGAAGGCAGAATAAGGGGCATCATTTATCAGATGGAGGGCGTAACTGTAACATAAACATACAAAAGTCTTGATTTTAAAGGTTTAATATTAGTTTCGATATCACAACTACATTTACCACTATCCTACTTGATGTATTATAATAATGACATGTTAAGTTCTTCTAACTATCAATGACATATTGTACGCGTTAGCATAATTCTAGTCATCCCTAACAACAACCGGCCAACCAGCTCGTCCTCCCATTCATATCTTCTGCATTGCCAGTTCATCATCATCATCTCACACCCGTTCGAGGATTATCTTCTTTTTTAGTCTTACTAGACTTGCCCGCTTTAGAACTTTTTTGCACAGCTTACACCCCCCCCCCCCCACTTCCCTTATCAATCTCTCACACACTCATCACAACTCGTATACAATCAAAGCACCCATTTAGTCACCCACCACGACCGCCTCGAAACTTTGAAGCAACAGTTACAAACCTTCGGTTGGGCTTCTATTAAAGGCCGAATTTTTGAGTTTGAAACGCGAGGCTAATATCTGTACTTCTCAATCCAAAGCTCATTAGCTTTTAGGACCTGACGGAGAAGTAAAGTAAGGAAGAAATTTCTTCTAAACTTTCGAAGCATCATGACATCAAGTGAATCCTTCGATGAGGAGGGGGAAATATTCGAAACAGAAGTAGAGAAGGCACCTCCATCGCTGCCTTCGGTCTCTGGCCCCAGCGTTGACCGTATTTCCAATAGAAATAATAGAGGCTCGAGATCGCCTGTCGTTTCCAACCACAGCGACGATGCGCGATCCTCCTCGTCCCGCCATGACCGTCGTGATCGTCAAGGTCCCCGCGATGATTCCCGTGACTACCACTATCGCAGTGACGACTACCCCCGAGGCGAAAAACGCAGGAGAGGCGATAGCAGGGGCGACCGTGGCCCAGACCCACGCCAACATCGTGTGCACTACGAAGCCGGCAATGATCCCAATTATGGACGTCGCTCGAGAGTTTCGTATGCAGATATAGATCGGTCGGACCCTCGGGAATTTAATAGAGTGCCCTATGACAGCCCGGACGAGAGATATCAGAATCGTGAATCAAAGCGATCACGTACACAGAGTCGCTCCCCGCCGCGAGGACCGAGAGGTGATGGTAGAGGTGGTCGTCGGGGTCATTATGATGATAACAGACGTGAGAATGGCAATAGGTACCACGAAAGAGATACAGTAAGGCACAACGGCAGCCATAGGAATTCCCGTGAACAATCAGTGAGCGAACAGGGAGATTTATCCGACCCTTCAAAACGAGATGCTGAAAACCGGAGCAAAGTGTCAGATAGGACGTCGTCGTTCTCGGGAGCTCAGAAGACGACAAACGGAAGGTTTGTTTTTTCACCCCGTCAGCAACTAGATCCATACCATTACGAAATTGACCTTTTGTTGCAATAGGAACGTTGAAAAGAGCGGTGTACTCAAACGAGATTTTGAAGAAATTGAAATTGAGGAACCGGTTGATGAAGCTAGCTTAATTGAGGAACGGCGAAAGAAAAGAGAGGCCATTAAAGCTAAATATAGGGGACAAGCTACACCATTGCTTGTTTCGGCATTGGGCCTTGATTCGACACCCAATTCTCCAGCAGAGGGTAGCGCTACACCTGGTGAGATCAATTGCCAGTTTTTACCTTATTTATGTGGTTACTTATATATAGTAGCAACGCCGTCATCACGAGAACATACGCCAGGCGATTTTACCATTTCAAAAGACGGTATCGCAGCACCTATAAATAACCCTGCCCTGCACTCCCCTATTGATATTGATAGCCCCTCGGCAGCCGACTATGATCCTACCATAGACATGCAAGAGGATGCAAAAAGAGGTCAAGAACACAGACACATAAAGGAAGTCTCTTCCGATTCCTATGATGAAACTAAGACCACAGTCAAAGATGTTCTCCCTGAGAATGCTTCGGAGAAGAACAAGCAAAAACCAGTAGAGAAAGCAGATGACGATGATTTTGATATGTTTGCAGAAGGTGATGATGATATGTTTGCGGACCCATTGCCAAAGTCTACTAAGAAAGAACCTGAAACTGCCAAGGCAGTCCCGGTTATCCCGCGGCGAAGCAACTAGATGCTAGTTTATTGGACAATTGGGATGATCCAGATGGATATTACCGTGTTATCCCTACGGAACTACTTGATGGTCGATATCATGTGCAGACAAACTTGGGAAGGGGTATGTTCTCGGGGGTTGTTAGGGCGCTTGACCAAACCACGAATAAACAGGTAGCCATCAAGATCATCCGAAACAACGAAACAATGTAATAATTTAATCTTGAAACACTTTAAGGACATAACTGACAATATCTACAGGAAAAAGGCCGGCATAAAGGAAATCGAAATATTAAAGAAGCTGTGTGCTGCAGATCCCGAGGATAAAAAGCATCTCATCAGGTTAGAACGATATTTCGAACACAAGGGCCATCTTTGTATTGTTTTTGAAAACTTGAGGTATGTCCACCGCTTGGTTCTCTTGGCTTCAGGTCAATCACTAATGTTTTTTGTAGCATCAATCTCAGAGAGGTATTGAAGAAGTATGGCCGAAATGAGGGTATTAGTCTAGCAGCAGTACGGTCATATGCTCAACAAATGTTCCTTGGTTTGTCACTCATGCGCAAGTGCAACATCTTGCACGCTGATCTGAAGCCTGATAATGTTTTGGTAAGCTCAACTTCCATAACATACCTGCAATATCCTATTAACCCTGTTTAATTTCTTAGGCAAATGAGAACTGTAGCAGTTTGAAAATCTGTGATTTAGGATCGGCCTCTGATGCGTCAGAAAATGACATTACTCCTTACCTTGTCAGTCGATTCTACAGGGCCCCCGAAATTAGTGGGTCACCCCCCCCCCCCCCCCAAATCCATTATTCCACAAATTGCTAAATATCTTGCAGTTCTGGGTATTCCTTACGATTATGCCATTGATATGTGGTCTATAGGCTGCACTCTCTACGAGCTCTTTACTGGCAAGATTCTCTTTACTGGGCGTACAAATAATCAGATGCTTCGCTCAATAATGGAATGTCGAGGAAAGTTTCCGCATAAGCTTTTACGAAAGGGGCAATTTACAATGCTACATTTCGACGATATGTTGAATTTTAGGAGTATCGAGAAAGACAAAATCACTGGAAAGGTGAGTGACAGAATAGCCCGCTTCTTTAAGAAACTTTCTAACCCTCCCTTCACTAGGACATTATCAAAACTTTGAACTTTAATAAACCAACTCGTGAACTCCGGCCCAGGCTGCTTTCCGCTGCCTCAGGTATGACGGATGCAGAAAGCAGAGATCTGAACCTTTTTATTGACCTGTTGGACCGCTGTTTGAACCTGAATCCAGAAAAGAGGTGTACACCAGCTGAGGCACTGAAACATCCTTTCATTCATCGTATCACTACTAGGTAGGATGGGGGTTTGGCGTGGTAATACGTGAGCGTGGGGTGTTGTTTGCTTTTTCCCTTCTCTTCATCTGCATCATGTTCGCGAATGACGTTTTTTATTAGGCTCTATAGAACAATTTAGGGTGCAACTAGGCCGGTGTTCGGCTGGGTTTCTCTTTTTACAAGTCAAGTTGAACTTAGCTGCATGTATATAGTGTAGTTAGTAGGTTTCAAATGCAATATTGAGATTCTAGGTCGTACGTCCGGACCGAAATTATATATTCTTATCACTAGGATTAATAATTAAAAGGGTTGACAGGACCGGGTGATCCTATCTTTATAAATAATATTCTTATAGCGAGAGACTGCTGTAGCTATACTTTGGTTCTATGTATTACTGGCTATCCTGTCGTGCAAACCATGGAGATCACGTAAATCTCTTAGTGCGGAGAACGATAGCCGCTCGCTGTTTTTTAAACAAAAATATTATCGGCGGTTTGGGCCACTTTTATCTTCTAAATTTTAAAGGGACTAGGCTATTGCGAACTGCCACTTACTCTAGATACCTACATGATTGCATATAGTACATATATTCATATATTATCACTCGATCCCAAAAAAGATATAAAGGGGGGAGGGGGAATCCATGCTATGGACACGGACCACCCCCAAGTTGATCATTTTTATGAATAACTTGGTAGATCATACATGATTATAACTGGAGTGTAATTGAAAAGGGTTTTATTAGATATAGGAATATAAATAAAGAACGAACCTGTTCAAAGCAAAAGGGCTAAGTCCTTATCCCATCAGTACATACATGTATGTACCCTAGACAGTCCATACCCCGGAGGCTGTTATGTACATCCCTACTATAGAAGCTTACATGTACCCAGCTTTTGGGTGAGCCTGAGTATGGTGCATAGCTTCAACACAAATCTCTCTACCACTCCCCCGTATTTAAGATCATAGATTTTTATCCGAGAATACATGTATACCGCCATAACTAGATCAAAATTACTTGTATGGGAAACTTCTGATGCAGATCAATGCCATTCAACCAATCACTCGAGTGATAATCCCTGGCCGGAGATAGCCAATTTTTCGAGTTTTGGCGGTACATGTATAATTTCACATAATAAACCATGCCTTCAGTTAGTGCCTCCTTTCAGCCGCATCAACAGTTGTTAAGCTGCAAAGCGCCACAACGCGATGGGATGTTTACAATTTTCCTCGCGTCTCACTTGAACTGTGTCAACATCTCCCCCCACCCCTCTCGTAAGCCCCAAGCCATTCATCCTATCCAACAATTGCTTCTACCAAGCCATACACCCCGTCCCTTCTACATATCATGGCAGGCTTTCGCAGAGGTAATGAAACGCCTATGGACTTTGAATATGACCAGACGCCTGATATCAGTCCGGCATCACCCTTCTATGACGCAAAGAAAAGTCAGTCCCCTTCCCTCCTGTTTTCTTGCTTTCCCTCTCCCATGCTGTATCGTATTGTATGTACTGACATACATCTAGCAGCAAGCCGTTCAATCTTCGCATACTCCCCTATAAACCCCCCCCATACTCCCCCAGCTACTGCCACCTTCCGTTTCGCCGCAGGAAATCCGACGACTCCACACTCAACACGACCTACGCAGTCGGCTTTCCAAACACCAAGCTTTCAGCTATTGCGGGGTGGGTGGAACACACCATCGAAGGATTCTGATATATTCTCAGAAGCTACCCCCCGGTCCCCAGATTTAGACAGTGAGGCGCCAACTCCTGAACCAAAAACCGCTCGGTCGGAGCTTAAAAGTATAATTAGCAAGCCTATTCTACCATCAACTACAACCTCACAAAGCACTGGTCGCGGAGAGCTCAAGAGGGGCGAGCCGCGAAGACAACTATTTGCCGCTGTAACCAAAGCACGTAGACGGCGACCGCAGACGCAGATTTCAACACAAAATTTTACGCCCCTCTCTGGATATGATACAGAGGTTGAAAACTCAGATGAATCGGATGAGGACGATGAGGAAGAAGATGAAGATGACGGCTCACCTTGCCGGCGGCCCCCACCTCGCATGTCATGGCGCCGCACAGCAGAATCTGCTGCGGCCTCTTTTGTGTCAACCCATCGTGACCTGCCGCTAATTGTGTCACATTACCTTCAGCTATTCTTCAATCTTTCATTACTACTACTGGTTCTTTATGCCGTGTTTTGTTTCTATCTCACTATCCGGGCAGACGTCGATGTAAAGGTGGAGGAGTACTCCTCTGAAATCTTAATGGAGATCAGTCAATGCAGCAGAGACTACATTGAGAATCGCTGCGCGCCAGGAATGAGAGTACCAGCTATGGAGAAAGTATGTAGTGCATGGGAAAGATGCATGAACAGGGATCCGACAATGGTCGGGAGAGCACGAGTAAGCGCAGAGACATTTGCCGGGATCGTGGATGGATTTGTTGAAGGAATCAGTTATAAAACTATGGTGAATCATGTTCCCTATGGATATTATGATAATGATTGGATATTGACTGTAATATGCAGCTTTTTTGCCTCCTCGTGATCTTCGGAGGCTTGTTTATATCAAATACAGCATTTGGGTTCTACCGGGCCAAGGCGGTTGATCCTATGCCAAACTATCACCCGACACAGTCATTTCCTTCAGCATATGGAGCGTACCCAAATGGAGTACCGCCGACACCTATGACTTCACGCTGGGATCGTGAACTACAACAGCAGATATATGACCAGCAATTATCACAGCAACTCATGCCCGGAACCCCTGTGCCAAGTACACCTTCGAGATCACTAGCTTGGGATGGCGGGATGACACCGAGGAGAACAGGTGGTCGGGAACGAGTCGGGACTGGAAGAAGAGAAAGGCGGTGAATTCAGAGGAGGTACAGGAAACTAAGGCGATGGTAAATGATTGTGCGGCATTTTAATGGAGTTTTTTTTTATACCTTTTGATTTTAGAGTTATTAGGATTGGGTATGGGAATAACGTTGTAATTTTCTCTTTCAACAGTTTTGTGCAAATGTAAAGTACATGATGTAGTTATGGATTCTATCAGAATACTGGTGTTGTTTTTCTCTTTTCCTTACTGAGGAGTCTACAACAATTAACATGTCGATGCCCAGAATGGGTGGCCATAAATCCTTTTCATGGCCTAAAATCTCATGGCCTCGGTATTGATTTTTTTGTTTGTTTATTTAATTCATTAATTGCATGCAACCTTACAGTTATAGCAACTCGGTATTAATGCTATACTATTGTTTGGTTTTGGGAGGCCACAGTCACTTTCCAAATGGCTTCATACTTCGTATTTCAACAGTTTTTTGCCTAATTACACGTATGTATATAATTGTACATAACTAATAGGGTGTGTAGTTGCGATCATAGCACATCACTCGCTTCAATATCCTCATTCGCTATTTTTTGGGCTGGTTATCACTATGTGGCCATGCTGGAAGCTTCTACTGTCGACTATACCAATGATTATTTCCTATAATATAAAAGGCCAGTACGTGAAGAATTTCGCAAATAGAGGATGCTGCTTAGCTGAATGCGACAGTAACAGTCCATACCGGAACCTTCCAGGAAAGCTAAGAATATGCATAATGATAGTGAATATAGTAACATACCTACTGGAACAACCATTTTTAAGTCCTTCAGTAAGAAGGGACAATCTGACTTTGGCATTCGTCTGCACGGAATGTTCTTGAATTGCGGTGATCAACCCCCGACTAGCGAAAGCGATTCTAGTTAGTAAATCTTATAAATATGAAATCTCTAGATCTTGTATGGGTATGTATGTACAAGTATATAGAACCTCACTCTTCTACAAACAGCGAAGACTTTGATCTTCATAAAATATACCCACGTCTACCAACCGCGCACGAAACTATCCCAAATACATGTATTGAGTTTGGTCTTGATAGCAACCGATAACTCTTGTTTATAAAACCCATGATCTAGGGATATGGGAGTTCGCTTAATTCAGATCCAGACTTACTTGATAGACTAAAATAAATGGGTTTATATATTCTAGTAGCGACGTTCTCGAGAATTCACCAGTCTTTGTTGTATGATGGATATAGAACTTCCATACATACAGTCCATTCTCTAAAGTGATATGCAATAAATGTCACCCATAACGTCGTGTATATCATTAGAGTGACTAATGTCCTACATATATGCCGGATCATCGAACCAATAAATAAAGCGGGCTTCTAACCATTGGCCATTATGCTTTCTGGTATTATAACATCTTTGTGTAACGGATATGGTTACAAGTGGGCCTTGAATACTCTCATTGATGGATGACTAAAAATATGTATTATACAAATACTACTCTGTGTTTTGGGGATTTGTTGCACAGCATAGCCTACAATAGAGTGCCGCCTTTAATTTTACCTCACAAACGATACAAGGTTAGTTTGAAGAGGCTACATAACCACTCAAACTTCGTGTATACACACATACCTATCTGCAAGTACGTACGTATCATGAGTACTTCGAGGATGAATTACGTTTTGATAGATGTAGACTATATATACCCACTTATTTGAGCCTGTGATAATTAAATTTATAGTATATCTATATATCATTGGATTCGAGCGCCCCTATGAGGGCGGAAAACACAAACCGTACCCTTTAAAATTTCGCCAATTCGGTTCTTATTAATGGAACTTTCGGTTATGTAGGTATATGTACATGTATGTACCCATCCTGGAGTACTTAAACCATCCCTGCGGATATGTTGCTATGTGGCACAGCTAAGCACACAACTTAAATACTCTATTCGATATCATCACAAGTAGATAAATGTGGGTTCAAAGCAACACCTTAATATGTAGCTTCTTGTTAGCCTAGAGTGCATTTTATTTTATTTTTTATTGCCGCATGTAGTTCCGCATATGTATCCTTGCTAGGAGTGAAGTATGTATGTCTTTGATGGCTCGTGGGTGTCCCTAAAACGTTGTCGTCAGGGTATCTGAAGAAAGGTGCTATGGCGACCTGAATAGTTATGGGTGAAACAGGTACTGGTAGTAGAATGTATATGAAGTCTGTAAATCCAAACTCACAGACTTCAGCGTTATCAGAGATAAGCCCAACTTTCTCGTCAAAGGACAGGGCATTGTTACAATTAACTATCGTAAGCCCTTCACACAGAATGTTAGTTTCTCAACTTGACGCAGCCGGTCGTCTCCAGGTCCATGAGCTGGGTGCTAAGTTAATGGCCGAGTGATTGGTTATGATCCCCTGAATAATTGTAGGTCGGCAGAGGAAAATACAGATGGGTTGAAAGTCTTTTAGGGTCATTTTTACCCAATATATGAGTCTGGAGATACCTCTGATAGGGTAGGTAATCATGGTGGTGGTCGTGGTTGGGAGAAAAGAGCCTCATGGAAACGAATCCCAGGCTTAGTAAAGGCAGTGATCAGCTGCATCGTCATCAAACATTTTCGTTGTAACTTGAGAATCTTTTCTTCATTCTTCCTTCTAGCATCTCTCATTTAATAACTACTCCCAGGAAGCTCCTCGGATCCGAAGGGCCTTTGTCGTTAGTGGGATGTCAGCGGCTGACGACGTCGCGAACCCTAAGTAAGATTTCAGGTCAACTGTAAAGAACGATCAAGGAAGGGCTCGGAAGACACGTTTATCTGATCCCCTTTTGTGTACTTCACCTTCGGCTATAACTATCTGCATCTCAGCTTCTCATCTTATTATCCACCCAAGTATCCATAATACACTGGCAACCTAAAAGCAAGAGGACCAAACCCGGGAATAAGGAAACGAATACTCAAGGAATAAAGAGAAGAGCCCGAACAATACCTTCAGGCCGACCTTCCATCTAAAGTGGACCCGGGCAGTAGTTAAAAAGAAATACAATTAACACATGAATTGATGATGACGACTGTCTCCTTCTCCACTCATCCAGTTTAACATCTTGAGAATCAGAGCATCCTAAACCCGCTCATACCACCGCCCACATCACCGCTCCAGCGGAATATTCATATGCTAGCCAGCGAAAATCATCACCAACAACAGCCACAGCCGCATCCCACTCCTCCCAATCCGCTCGTGCAGCCGCACCTCACCCCCAACCCCATTCAAGCTTCGAACACCACAACTAACACCACCATGAACGGTAGCGGTCACGGTGTAAACGGTACTTCCTCGTATAGTTACATGATGATAAACGGTGGCGACGTTCCCAGTCACGTAAATGGGGATAGGGAGAATGGCAGAGTGAACGGACATCATCAGCAACACCAGCAGCAGCAGCAACACCACCAACAACCATATCCTACAAGTGGTCCCTCACACCCCACAACTGCAATATCACGTCAGAATTCGTCCTCCTCGACCGCTTCGTCTGTTGCCCCCGCACATGAGTCTTCAGCAGAGCTCCTTCGGCAGACCCTTTCCGGGAACATATTAATCGCACCGAACACGCGCCCAAACAGTAGGTCAAGTTCTCGAAGAAGAAAAGCACGAACTCCACAAACTCCAAGATCTGGAGTCCTTACCCCCGCCACTCTCCATGGATCGCCGGAGAATTCTGAGAACGAGAGTCCAAGCGAAGAGATCGTGGATCATGAATATGAAGGAATGAGACATGGATTCGAGGACGAATACAACTCAGAGGCCTATCTGGCGGTTTTAGAGCAGGTTGGTTTCTGCTTCACATTTTGATTTGGTTCCGCGTCTAAATTTTCGAGGCGACAGGTTTTTTATATGTATTATACCGACAAGCGCCACGAGACTGGAGGCAAGCCGAAAGAGGACAACCAAACATTTCCTTTGCAGGAATGGCGAATGCGCGACCGGCTGAAGACTGTTTCGGCTGCTTTGGTATTATGTTTGAACATCGGCGTTGATCCTCCCGGTATGAACCATCCCTTTAGACAATCAACCGAAAATTAGCTAATTCCCGGCAAGATGTCGTTAAGACAAATCCCTGCGCAAAGCTTGAATGCTGGGTCGATACAACTCTTCATCCCACTGCAAAGCCACTGGAAAAGATTGGCAAGAATTTGCAGCAGCAATATGAGACCTTGAGCATTCGAACCAGGTATAAACAGCATTTAGACCCGTTCGTCGAAGACACGAAGAAATTCTGCTGCTCTCTGCGGCGAAATGCGAAAGATGAGCGTATTCTCTTTCATTACAATGGTCACGGAGTGCCCAAACCGACATCCAGTGGAGAAATATGGGTTTTCAACAAAAATTTCACCCAATATATTCCAATCTCGTTATATGATCTTCAGAGCTGGCTTGGTGCTCCAAGTCTGTTCGTCTATGACTGCAGCGATGCCGGGAACATTGTTACGAATTTTAATAGATTTATCGAAAAGCATGAGCAGGAGAATGCAGAACTTAGAGCAAAGGATCCAAGCGCAATAACGACGCCTTCGTATAGTGACTGCATACAACTTGCAGCCTGTGGAGCTAAGGAAACGTTGCCGATGAATCCGGATTTACCAGCTGATCTCTTCACCTGTTGTTTGACAACACCTATTGAGATCGCAGTTCGTTTCTTTGTATTGCAAAACCCTTTGCCATCGAACCCATTGCCTGGAAGTCCGTTCCCGTCTAAGTTGACTGTGGATATGGCAATGAAGATCCCGGGGAGGTTGCAGGAACGAAGGACACCACTTGGAGAGCTTAATTGGATCTTCACAGCAATCACTGATACCATTGCTTGGAATACTCTCCCCCGGCCGCTTTTCAAAAAGCTGTTTAGACAAGACTTGATGGTAGCAGCTCTTTTTAGAAATTTTTTGTTAAGCCAAAGGATTATGAGGGTGCATCAATGCCATCCTATTTCTTCCCCTGCGTTACCAGACACTCACCACCACCCATTATGGCAGTCATGGGACTTGGCAGTTGAAATGGTTCTTGCTCAACTTCCTGCTCTGAATGATGCAGCGGAAGGCGGTCCACCGTATGAATATCAACATTCTGGGTTCTTTACAGAGCAACTTACGGCATTCGAGGTGTATCTTTCACAAGGTGCAGTTGACCGCAAGCCTCCAGATCAGTTGCCCATTGTACTACAAGTACTGCTAAGTCAAGTTCATCGTCTCCGGGCCTTGATCTTGCTCAGTAAATTTCTTGATTTGGGCCCCTGGGCTGTAAATCTTGCACTGAGCATAGGCATCTTTCCCTATGTCCTGAAATTGCTCCAGTCTGCTGCCCAAGAGTTGAAGCCTGTCATGGTTTTTATTTGGGCTAGGATCTTGGCCGTCGACGCATCCTGTCAGGCAGATCTATTAAAAGATAATGGTTACAGCTACTTCATCCAAATTCTCAGTCCTGCGTCCGGTATCCCGGTTGGAAACGCGAGTGAGCATCGTGCTATGTGCGCTTTTATCTTGGCCATGTTCTGTCGAGGTTTCCACCAGGGCCAAGTAGTATGCATGCCTCCGAACGTGATGAGTGCATGTCTCGCACATCTTGGAGATGATAACCCACTTTTAAGACAATGGGCCTGCCTTTGCTTATCACAGCTTTGGTTTGATTTCCCTGATGCCAAATGGCAAGGGATCCGCGAGGGTGCGCATCTAAGACTTTGTGAACTAGCAACGGATAATGTTCCGGAAGTCAGAGCAGCAGTATTGTACGCACTTACTAGTTTCCTTGGGATCCCGGAGATGAGCGAAGAGGTTGCTAAAATCGAACAGACTGTGGCGGGTGCGTTGTTGGTCATGACGGCTGATGGAAGTAACATGGTCAGAAAAGAGCTGGTTATTTTTTTGAGTGCATTTGTGAAGCGAAACGAGAGTAAATTTTTAGTGGCTGCATTTGAACAGATGATGCAGGAGAAGGAATGCATGTACTCTGCAAAAGTAACTGAAACGACTAGCGCAAAGTCTGGTGGGGGAGAGAGACACCACAACCGAGTAGCATCTGGACCGGGTTCTTTAGGAGGGGCTGGGTTAGGGACTAATGGAGCTTTGCCGAAAAAGAAAGACTCAATATCTGGAATTTCAGAGGAAACGATATTCGGGGCAGTATGGCAAGCGCTACTCATGTTCTCAGTGGACCCCTTCCCAGAAGTTGCGCAATCAGCCGGAATTGTCGTCGATTACATTCATCTTGCACTTCTTGATAGCCCTCTGGGAAGCGCAACGCAGGAAATCATTGATGAGATTTCGAGAGCTAGTCTGAGAGCTTTCAGTCTTACACTTCCTACAGCCAACGTACAGGACAACAGCAATAAGCCGCCAGACTCGCCAGGCCTCGATAAACGTGAGAACTACTTTTTAGGTTCACTCCGTAGATCTGCGAGCATTGCTGCGAGCTTGAAGAACTTGGCACTTGGGTACGCGAATGGTGATAGTGCGTCAAATGGCGGCTCAGCACCATCAACGCCGAAAGGGCCAAAATCAAGCGTCGGGGAAAGAAGCCCAGAATGGAACCGCCCTCCAGACGCCAACGACCCGTTGAGTTCGGGCTCGACCTATCACTCTGCTAGACAACCAACACCCAGGAATTTCCAGTCTAGAGATATCGGCGAAAAACCAACAATTCCCCTTCAAAGTCAATTTATGGAGTGGTCGATCGAGGTAAGAAGAGTTATTTCCAGAACAAATTAACTAATAGAAGTTCATATATCTAATGTGTTATTTATTACTAATAGTACTTCCGTGAACCCCAAATGAAACCCAATGAGGCTGATGAGCCGGGGAGTGTCGATTACAACCAGAGATTATGGCGAAGGACTAGAAATGATAGAATAATAATTGACACGCAGCCGCAAAAGGAACGGGCGGGGAGCTCAAGATGGGATCATGTCAAGGGGTTCTTCAATAATGTCAGTCAACCAATGAGGTTGATGTTTCATCAGTTTGAAAGTCACCTGGTAGCAGTTGATGATAAAGATGGTGTTTCGTGAGTCCCCAGAACTAGTAATCGAGATTTATCTAGATGGCTAACGTTGATAAAGTGTCTGGGACTGGGATAAGGGTGTTAAGACGAATTACTTTTCAAATGGGAACCCACCTGGAACAAAAATCACTGAGATCAAATTTTTGAACGAAGATGACGTTGCACTATTGATGACCGGCAGTGGCGAGGGTGTCGTGCGAATTTATAGAAACTATGAGAGCTCAAAGGATGTGGAACTGGTGTCTAGTTGGAGAGCACTTACAGATTTGCTCCCGTCAAGACGAAGCTCAGGGCTGGTCGCAGAATGGCAGCAAGGGAGAGGCACAATGCTTGTGGGTGGGGACGTAAAAGTCATCAGGGTTTGGGATGCGCCTAGGGAGATGTGTATGAGCGTGAGTTGTCTTCGAGCTTCTATACAAGAGAAACATGACTAATGGACATATGAATATAGGATATTCCGGCACGTTCTGGGTCGTGTATCACCAGTTTAACATCCGAGCAAGTTGCGGGCAACGTCTTCGTAGCCGGTTTCGGAGATGGAGCATTGCGGATTTACGATCGCCGGCTACCATCAAGAGACAGTATGGTTAAGAGGTGGAAAGAACACAATGCCTGGATTGTAAAGGTTCATATGCAACGAGGAGGCATGAGAGAACTTGTCAGTGGAAGCGCAACTGGTGAGGTTAAGTTATGGGATATTAGGATGGATTCGCCAATCAAAAGCTTTTTGGCTCATACTAAGGGAATGAGGAGTTTGAGTGTGCATGAACATGCTCCTGTTATCGCAACGTATGTATAACTGTAACGAAGATAAAACAAAAGCTAATGAAGTGGAATAACAGTGGGTCGACTTATCACGACGTTAAGATATGGAATATGGGGGCCTCAACCTTCGAGACTCCCCTTTCGACAATAAGGCCTTATAGTAGCTTTTTATATCAAAACCGCTCAAGTCCGGTCACAGGGCTTGCGTTCCACCCCCACCGGATGATGGTGGCATGCTCTGGTTCCGGCGATCAACACATTAGCTTATTTGCTTGCGATTCCAAAGGAGGAATTTAGAAGTTTAAACAGAACAGTTTCTAGCTGGCATTAGTGCCTATTGTTTTGGCTTATTTAGTCGCTGTATTTTGAGTTTGCGGTTAAACTAGTTGTCCTTCTATTTGTTTCGGATCGGTTTCTTTTTCCTTGCTTGTTAATTAGTTAATGGTAATGTTGTACAATAAATGCTGGAGATCTTATCTAGGAATTACTTTTTTTTTCCTTTTTTCCTTTTTCTTTTTCCTTTTTTCCTTTTTTTTTTTCTTTGCAGAGTTGATTGCTGTTATTTGAGCATGTTATTTGGTTAGTAGCTAGATTGCGATAATGCAACTATAGGTTGGAGTAGAAAGGCGAATGTTTTATCACTTGGGTTTCGTATCTAGGAAATTGCTATATTTTAAGAGAGGTCTGAGATAACAGTGTTCGAGTGTGTTCCATATTTGCTTACGGATATTAATCCTGTACCCTATGTATTTAGCTACTGAGATAGGAGCAGTTGCATGAAATATACCAAGTTCTTATGATACATGTACTTAAGATAGATGTGTTTACTTCGGTATGCTATGTAACGTATATACTTTCCGCTGCGTGAAACATAAGCGGCCGCGGGACGAGCAGCTTGGTGTGCTGGCTACATGTAGTTCAACTTATTATCCGAGCTCTCAGTACCAATGCGTGCGAACATGATACGCATGCGATTGGTGAATTGGCATCACTAATCCGGTAAACCTCGTTCTAACCTGTATTACCACAAGTACGTGTGCTTTTATGTCGACACGCCAGTAGTCAATTGCAGAAGTGACCGAGTGATATATTATGACCCGAAGTTACCCGCTCTAGAATTTACATCTAGAGTAGCTAGACGTTGTGTGCAGCTCCACGGCGCCGCGGGACTGTATCAGTTTATTGGACGCGGGATAGCACAAGCTAGAGTAGGTGCGTGTGTTATGGCCCCGTGGGCGCGCATGGTCGGCTGGCGTGTATTTACTAGTATTTCGCTGACGTTTTTGAACTGGGCTATTATTGCATACACCCAAAACCATGAGCTTGGCGTATTTTTGTATGGCATGCAATATCAGTCGCGTCCACAAACGTCAGAGAAATACCGTTCCACAGCTCCTACATACATGCAGGACATGTACTCTAAGTATCAGATCTAGTAGCAGGTACGTATCATAATAAGTATGCTACAGCGTAGATAACATTCCAGGGGTCGGTCGGATCGAGTCGGCCAATTCCGGACATTTATGCATGGGCGCCTCCCGGGTTTTGAAGCGAGAGATTCGGGAATGCCGCTGGTGTGGATGATGGTCATCGTAATGCCGCAGGGAGCCGAGCTTCTAGGTGAGTGGTTGTTCTTGATAGACCTTAAGTAAGATAAAGCCTACATGGGTGACTACAGCGAATCAATACACTGCATGCCTTCGACGGCCTTGATCTGTGCCCTGCATTCGCACTTTAAGATGCCATGGAGGCCACTTGCTAGCCAATTGCGTGCCCATCCTGCACTTTCTCACACATTCTTAGTAACTCCATGTACTACTGCGTCGATACAGGTAATTCTTAGCTGGTATCGTATATCATGGGATCTCTTTCTCATTCTTCTTAAGATCTTGTTCTTCCCTCCGTCCTTTTCGACTTCGCTCTTTTTTTCTTCTTGTACTGGCCATCATCTCGTTTTTCACACCAATTATACGATTTGTTACCTGAAGGTTGTCTAAATACAGACTACTTTCTACTAGTCATAAGTCGTCCCCGTGACTTAAAGCCTACACTAGCCGAAAATTGAACACTAAATTCTGCCTCCCCGCAGCCTCCGAGCCTTTGTTCTTCCGTTCTGTTAATTAGCTTTAAATTTTCATCTCTGCAATCATGTCCCCTCCTAGCATTCAAGAAGTTGGTGTTCATGCCACCAGCGATACCACCGCCGCGACAATTCCGGATCCTCTTACCTGTGACGATGTTGCTGCAAGACGATCAAAATCTGGCCCTTTCAAGGGAGGAGTAGCTGCATCTACTAGCAGTGAATTTTTCAAATCAACGGTAAGTTCTGTCCTTGCTGCCTCCCTTCTTTATGCATTTCTGATTTCGATTTCAAACAGGCTACATGGAAGCCAATGTCAAAGAAATGGGACCGTGAGTGATTCCTTAGCTACATAAAGCTTACAAAATATTACAATTCAATCATTAGATTTGTAAGGGTTTAGGGCCATAATAACAATGGGTGTTGTAGACCGTTTGAATGGAGAGAGCAAATCCCGTCAGGCGTCAACTTTGAAGAATGCAGCTACGTATCTGTCTATTCCTGGTATGCATCAGAATTTTCCTCTTTATATAAGATTTTTAGCTTATTACTGCTCATAGGAATGATTTCTCTCGGTGGTGGACTTCCTTCGAGCAGTTACTTCCCCTTCCAGTACATAGATGTCAAGATCCCTTCCATTGGAAAGTTCTCGGAAGCCGAAACTTTAGAGTCGGGGAAAGTTATGCATATTGGAAAGCATGACGTTAAAGAAGGCAAATCTGCGTTTGATCTTTCGATTTCACTCAACTATGGACAAGGAACAGGATCAGCTCAAATCCTTAGATGGATAACTGAGCATACTGAGGTAGGACATTGGGTTCAAGGGGTATTCAGAGGAGAAATGCTAATTAATCACCTCTAGATCGTTCACGACCCTCCTTATCAAGACTGGCAGTGCGTCACAAGTGTTGGAAGTACATCTGCCCTAGACATGATTTACCGCATGTTCCTAAACAGAGGAGACTTCATCATCTCCGAGGAGTACACTTTTACTTCAGCTGTAGAAACTGCTCTCCCGTTGGGCTGCAAAATGATTGGCGTGAAGTTGGATGCCGAAGGAATGCTCCCCGAAGCCCTCGATGAGCTCCTTGAGAATTGGGATGAGGGTGCTCGGGGTGCGCCAAAGCCATTCTTACTCTACACAGTTCCATCAGGGCAGAACCCAACTGGTGCAACTATGAGCACGGAGCGCAGAGAAGAAATTTACAAGGTTGCTCAAAAACATGATTTGATTATCATTGAAGACGAGCCTTACTACTTTCTTCAAATGCAGCCCTACACTGGACGAGATGCTCCTGCTGTACCGTTGCCTAAGAACCGCGAAGAGTTCCTCAAATCTCTTGTTCCATCTCTTCTTCGTATGGATGTCGATGGGCGTGTGATTCGCGTTGACTCTTTTTCTAAGGTCCTTGCACCGGGATCTCGAGTGGGATGGATTACCGCAACTGCACAGATCTGTGAGCGAATGATCAGGCATAACGAAGTCTCTGTTCAGAATCCATCCGGATTTGCGCAGGTGATTCTCCATAAACTGTTGGACGAAGAATGGGGCCACGCTGGTTATCTGGATTGGTTAATTAACCTTAGAGCGGAATATACGCAAAGAAGAGATGTGTTACTGCACGCGTGTGAGGACTATCTGCCTGCAGAAATTGCCAGCTGGACGCCTCCTGCGGCAGGAATGTTCCACTGGATCAAGATTGCGGTCGAAAAGCACCCCGATTTCGGGGCCAAGTCTATCCGCACAATTGAGAATGAACTTTTCCTCGCAGCTGTAGCCGAAAATGTCTTGGTTTCTCCGGGAAGTTGGTTTTCGGCGGATAAGGATGCTAAGCACGACGAAATGTTTTTCAGAGCTACGTTTGCTGCTGCTGAGGTTAGTAATGGTCTTCGCTCCTACTCATGGATAATTAATTCTAACTAGATTTTATTATATAGAATGCTGCCATGACTGAAGCTATTAAACGTTTTGGAGCTGCGATTCGGAAAGTATTCAAACTGGATTAGAGGCCGGATCTTAGGGCTTGACATAACACAACTATACATGTATATACAAGTAGTTCACCCAATATGCCCAGCCATTGGAGTCACTGCGCATACTTTATAAAAGGTTATTCAATTGAATTCATTAGATGAGGCCAATCAGCATATATATGTGTCGTAATTTAAGCTTCATATATTATCCTTCCGTAGAACAGGAATTTTGGTGTCCCATTGAAGCTTTTAAAGTTATAGACCTAAACATCCATACAATACAAAAAACGAACCAAGAGGAAAGAAAGTTATACTCAGATCTAATTGATGAAGTTGGTACAGAAAAGGTGGAGGAGGACACTGCCAAAAACGAAATCCGCGAATGCCCTATTATAGAATGCCGTGAGCCTCATTTTCTCAATAAAGCTTGAAAAGTTATCGGAGGGGAGCCAAACCGTTCAGGAGAAACACTAGAGAATTCGTTTTTGTTTACTGGGTTGGATTGTATACGTAGAGAAGCTGAGAAGATTGATGTTAGTTGATCAATAGTGCGCAAAGAGAGCCGGGTTTACGGTTCATACCAGTCAATACAAACTGACCCACAGTCGCAGAGAAACCAGCTAGGAAAGCATTGAATGGCTATTTATTGCAAAATGTTAGTGAAAGAACGTCTCCGAGCTTTGTTTCACCATCCTACGGGAAAACAAAGGCTATCGTGGCCTTAAGAGCTGATGCGACATACATAATTCCCTGCAATCACACAATAAATAAATTGCAGTACTCCCGTGATAACCAAGAAGCCCAAGAAGGCATCAATCAGCTTAGTACGCTGAGCTGTGGTGCTTGTATAATTTTGGTAGACCTTGCCAAAGATGGTGAATGGGTTATTTGAGGATGAAGCAGAAGCCTTTGAGGGTGCGGAAGCAGCTGTTGTCGCGGGCGCAGAGGGTGTAGAGGGCGCCGGTGTGTTGACAGTAGAAGTACTATTCTTCTTGGGTGCCATTGTAAATTTTTCTTTGAGGTTTCGGTATGGTTCTGCAGTTGTTGGTGTGGATTTTACTGACGCTGGAGTAGACGAGGGTTAGGATGGGAGAATGGTACAGGCGACGTTGTCATGAAGCCGCGTTGCAAGCTTCCCTCGGAATATCCCTACCACTCGTTTACCAACGATAACACTCATCACTTCCAACCCCGCGCAAACAAACATAACACCAACCCAAATTAACAATGGTAGGGCTGAACTATTTTCTTAAATCTGGCGGAAGATTTCTGACATAGTATATCCTGCATAGGCTGATCTTCCCGCTCTCATCCTGGGTGCCTTGTGCGCTTTCGGAGGAACTATGGGATACATGTATGAGACCAAATCCTTAGACAAAAGGCTATCTGATATCTGACACGTCCGGAAACAAACAAATAGTCGCACAGGCTCTGTTCCGTCCGTCGGTAATTCTCCAATATCTCTGATAGCGCATCTATGAAGTGTTACTGATCCGATATATCTAGTTGCCGGTGTGGGCGTTGGCGCTCTTTACGGATACGGAGGGCTTCGCATCAAGAACGGACAGCCTTACGGTATCGAGGTATACTAGAAAATACGTATGACTAGTGCCGATGAAGAAAACTGACCAAACTGTTTTACAACGTATAGACAGCTTTACTTGCTTCGTTAATCTTAGGAGCTTCCAGCCTTCCCAGGGCCATCAAGGTAGGCTAGACAAATTCAAGTTTGATATTCGTTAGACTAATATCTTTATACAGACTGGCAAGCCTCTTCCAATTGTAAGTTTGTGAAGTCTATATGCATCTTTCTGATTGTTAGACTAACCAAGAATCTGAAATGTAAAGGGATTGAGCGTGCTGGTGAGTTTTCCTGCGTGCCCAAATAGAATACATTATCTGACAGACAATTCAGGCTACTTATGGACTATTTTATTATGGCCTGAAATACAGACAGGTCAACTAGCTAGCTTGAAGGGAGTTCGTGGACATTTTCTGTGTAGAGATCTGAGTAATAAAATCAATTGCAAGCAGTTCAAAATAATTAAAACAGATGTAGAATGTTCTCTTGATCCTTAAAAGAACGGGATCATAGCAAGTCTTTTTGTTATTCATTCTACTAGTACCTACACTGTCAGATCATCTTGGCAACGGACAATCTAAGGGGTCACGTGGGCTCGTCCATGCAGAGTTCTAGCCTTAGAGCCGCACTTAGAGTACCCTTTAAAGTGTGAAGTTAGGACCTTACATACAACTTACATACAAGCGATCACCACCCCATATCCACGGATACCTCTCTTGGCCAGGCTAACTCCACAGGAATCCTATGCTCAATTCACCCAAATACGATTTTACCGGCGGGAAGAGGAGAGTAGGAATGCGGGCGACAGATGGACCGAAGGGTTCGCTGTTATCTACCTTCAGAAACTCCACAGGCCTTGAATCCCGAGATACTAATACAAAGAAACCGGGAACATCTGTCCAGAACAGTAGGTTCGCTTCAGGAGGTAATGGCTCATTGGTAAATTTCGAGGACGAAGAAGACGATGAAGACGACGAATCCATAAGCACCCGGGCACCATCTGTCACCAGATCATCACAAAGCGCCCCCGCTCGCCTTCCAACCCCATCTCTCAGCGCGAAAGCCAGCGATGAACCGGAGGACGTTTACTGCGATGTTGAAGACTTTCCTACACCTAAACAGCCCAAGACGAAATCATTGCTGGGGAACCTTTCGGACGACGACACTCCACTCGCGGATGAGCAACAGAGCAGAGATATTAAACCAACAGTATGGAAGAGCAAAAACACCAAAGAAAAAGAGGATGAGGAGTGGAAAAAAGAAACACAAATGATGCTAAGAGAAAAACAAAGAAGACGGATGAATCCACAACACATCCGAGGGGCAGGCTTTAATACCGAAGGGGTTGAGAAAATGGCAAAGAAACCATTATTAGGGAATGGTTGGGATATGGGGCCGACCAAGAAGAAACCCTTAACGTACAAAAGGAAGACATTTGGTGACCGAAACCGTATGTAATTATTTACCGCATTGCCATTCATGGACATTATTGACTCTTGAATAGGAAAAAGTACTCAAAGAAAGACAAGTTTGGACTCAGACTCCGAGGACGAGAAAAAGAAAGAATCTAAATCTGAGTCATCAAATTTTAGCACTACGCAGCCAGTTGGATTCAGGGATCCTACTATGCTCATTGCACTTCCAGAGAAAGAAATCAAGGAAGATGCTTCTGCCAAAATTTTTGCTTCCCAGAAAGAGTTTAGAATTCCTCCACCGTTGCCGCCCAAAAAAGATAGTATGCTACACCTACGCCCTCCAGCACATAGAAACTTACATTTTATAGCAACGGAGGAAAATTCCCGCAATCAAAATTTTCTGGGTTTAAGGATCCGACGGAGATATATAAACTATCTAAAGGCAAAACACCAGAACCAAAAAGTCCAAAATTCGCGCCGTCCAACAATTCTTCCAATCTGAAGCGTGAGATTTCAATTTTAATTACTAATAGCAAAAGCTGATGTGGACATCTAGACAACCATAAATTCGAAGAAAAGGAATTACAAGCACGGTCTTACTATGTAGATGACTCCGACGATGACATTGCTAGCTTTAAGGGTTCGGAGAAAGAAGGTATGAAATGAACTTCAAAGTATCTTTTGGCCCGCCCCACATGTTAATTGATGACAGACTCGAAAAAAAGAAAGGCGTCGAAAGCAATTGACTTGACTTCGAAAGAAGATTGGATTGGAAAGGATGGCGGGTTTTCATCGCTAGATGACGCTGAGTTTTCTGTTAACGAATCACAATCATCTTCTCAAGTGCGGCACATGGACGAGATCAGTCTTATACTACAAGAGACTAAGTTGCGGGAACAGGCAAAAAAGCGAAAAGCAATAAGCATACCCGACCTCTGCGTTATCTGCAATGAGGTTCTCCCAATCGGCACATTGGATGCTTGGAGATATGACGACGGGGAGCTCAAGCCAATCCGGATGGCAGAATGGTCTATAATTTGCAATGAACATAAGGAGGCAGGATTCCAAGAACAATGGGACAAGAGGGGGTATCCTGTAATCAATTGGGGAGAACTGAAGAAAAGGGTAGAGCGCCACCACCAGATTCTGGTTGACATCGTCACGAATAAAGTTACATCTCCATTCAGGGATGTGCTTGTGTTACAGCAAAAGGAAACAAGAGGTAATGCAGCGATGTTACTACGTAAAGATGTTCGGTTACAATACCCCGGCTATTATGGTCCAAGAGGCTCCTCAATTTTGTATGTACCTTTACCACTCCCCAGTTCTTTTAATCCACCACTTTACTTATTTTGAACCTTTCTTTATAGGCTCCACGAAATCACAAGAAGGCTCGGGTCCTTTATCGGTGATGCTGCTAAAAAGGACAGATTAATCGGGCAAGGAGGTGTAAGTGCATTTATCCAGACAGTTCTAGTACCAGAACTCGGTGTGCGTCTCATAATGGAAGACTTGAATGTGGGCGAGCCAGAAGCTAGGAAAATCCTAGATGTAAGCCAGGATCTTGGCGAGAAGCTGCATTTCAATGACTATATAGAAGACATATACGACGAGGCGGATGGCCCTTGGTTCGATATCAATGCAACTCAGACGGTGGCCCCAGTAGCCGAGAAGAAACGCGGCCGACTCGAGGATCTTTGCGATTCAGACTTGAGTTCTGACTAGTAGTTATTGGTGTGCTATATATATATATGCATGCACGACAGTTACCTGGTTTACTGATGATTGTTATTCATTTTTTACGGAGTTCGAAAGATTATTTAGGATATTGTTCTTTTCTTTTATGGCTTAGACTACTTAGACTGATGGGGTTTCTGGCGAGGAGACGCCTTCACGGCACCCTTATATTTAATTAATAATAAATGGGCATGCCTTTATCGATGGCTCTGCACGTGAGTGTTAATTTTAATGTGCTTTAATCATGAGAGATCACTCGACTATCTCTGCCTACACTGGGCTTAGAAGTCTAACCAGTTGTACTTGAGGCTATAGACTATCACCGTGTCTAACCGGGCTCGCAGAATGTGGTATTAAGTATCTACAGCACGGTAATTGTATCGTATTAATTTATAATTTCTTTTAACATGTATGTACAAAGGTACAAAGCAGTTCCGGTTAAATATTAGGGCTGTCGGTCTAGTATAAGGGGCCTGTGTGGCAACGCAAGAAGACCTTACCAGCTTCTCCAGCTTTCAATTGATGGGACAAATGGTCGAAAAATTAATTCGGGGCCCTCACCAAGGTTCTCTGAGCTTTAGGGAAATTTGGGGTTGGAGTAAGGGTTTGGCTGTGCGGACGGTCCCCTTAGATCGACACCCATGTATAGCAGCTATACATATGTAATTATCCATGTTTGATATTGAGTCAAGAGGGAATTAGAATTTCTAGATGGTACAGCGCCGGACAGTCAAAATCAACCCTCATGTTCTTTTCAAGCCAGAAACTAGTCCTAATCGGGTAATAATGATCATCTAATTATCCAAATATGGTAAGAATTATCCAAAATTAATGTGGCCGCCTTGGCATAAAGCTATTAAAGTTATTATTTCACACCTATGTTTTTTTTCGGGCAGATTGCACCAAATGTTTGAGAGGTCATAGTGCAGCCAGTTCTTAATTATTTTAAATCCCCTTTTATGGGGATGTTTACAACCATGATTAGACCCATTTTATATTTTTGGACAAGTGTTGCGTTGTTGAAAGTCGATGGGGTGAAGGGGAGTCGGTTGCTCTGGCCGGCTGGTTTTGGCTGCACCGTACCTTCTGTAGAAAAAGCAATCATTGACATCATCAGGGTTAGGTGTGCGGCTGTTGTTACCTTAGTCACAGCGCGTAAATCTATTTGCGCGCCCGTTCAGTCGCGCAACACCACTGCCATCATCTTTCACCCCATTTCCTTACCAACAATCTCCTATCCCACGGAAGACGCAAAGAATTAACAAATCATTATGGCTTTCTTCGGCGGAAATACTGCTCAGTCTGGCCCCTCCGCCGCTGCCAACGCAAACAACCAAGGCGACTTAAGCAAAGATATAGAGCTCTCATCGCCGCCAGAGGATAGTGTCTCCGACATCTCGTTTTCTTCGCAGTCGGAACACTTAGCTGTTGCGAGTTGGGACAAGAAGGTTAGAATATACGAAATTTCTGATACTGGGAGCTCCGTTGGAAAGGCCGCGTACGATCATGAAGGTCCTGTGCTATCGGTAGTTTGGTCTAAAGTGAGTTTGCGTTTCCTCCGATCTTTGAACCACATGTGGTTGGATACGTACTGAAAAAACATACAGGACGGATCGAAAGTTATTTCTGGAGGTGCAGACAAAGCAGCTCGCATGTACGACCTCCAATCTGGCGTGAGCACCCAGGTAGCAGTCCATGATCAGCCTATTCGAGCTTGTCGTTTCATCCAGCCACCGAACGGAGCGGAAATGTTGGTAACGGGGTCTTGGGACAAGAGCTTGAAGTATTGGGATTTAAGACAACAAGCACCTGTGGCTACATTGCAATTATCTGAGAGGGTTTATACTCTAGATGTCGCGCAGAGCTTGATGGTTGTTGGGTTAGCTGAGAAGCAGATTGAAATTGTCAATCTTGCGAATCCTACTGCGATCTGGAAGACAATCCCAAGCCCGTTGAAATGGCAGACTAGGGTTGTGAGCTGCTTTCCAGATGCAACCGGATTTGCGGTAGGGAGTATCGAGGGAAGATGTGCGATTCAGTATGTGGACGAGAAGCAATCAAAGTATGTCATCTGTTTCCAACCCTGAACTGTTCTTTGTAGTGGACACCGCTAATAGCTACACAGCATGAATTTCTCTTTTAAATGTCACCGGGAAGCCCCCGTCGGCTCTCCCATGGCCAACGTCAACGTTTTCTCCGTAAACGCCATTTCTTTCCATCCAACATACGGCACATTCTCAACTGCCGGTTCAGATGGAACTTTTCATTTCTGGTACATAGTTCTTTCTACCTTGGCAAGCGCAAATTCACTAACTCCCTACCAGGGACAAGGACGCAAAGCATCGTCTCAAAGGCTATCCTTCTGTCAATGGAACGATCCCTGCCACCGCATTCAATAGAAATGGCTCCATATTCGCCTACGCTATATCTTATGATTGGAGCAAAGGTCATCAATCTAACAACCCGCAATACCCAATTAAGGTCATGCTTCATCCTATTAAGGACGATGAAGCAAAGCCGAAACCAGTTGTCAAGAAGCGTTAAATTAACAATGCTTCTACACGGTTGAATTTTTGTTTGTTTGGTACATCAATGAAAATGTTCATGGGTGGGGCGGGCGTTCTTGTAATTGAATTTTACGATATCGCAAAAATTGCACGAAATAATGAGCCTATGAAATATGTTGTGGTTGAGCTCAGAGTAGCATCTATCCCATTTTCTAGTCTTTCATTTCTTTATTCATAGCATCTTTATCAATAGGTGCAATAGTAGATACGGTGGCCTACTCTAGAATATCAGGTAACGAAGCGCCCTAACAATGATACCCGCAAAGTCCGCTTCTTTATTTCTATCTTTTGAGTTATGCACCTGCATGTAGTTATGTTTGCCAAAATGCTATGTATTGCTGGGGGGTATCTAGAGTGCACTGTCCGGTGCAGTAGATTTAGTTTGAGGTTTCCAGAAGTAGGTAGTACTATTGTATGTACCTAGAGTACCAATCGATGCCAAGAATCACCTATTCAGCCCCAAGCAGCCCCACCAAAGCTTATGTAGACGACAACTTCGTTGATTGCCGAGCGAGCTGTATCTTACCCACTTTACTCACCTATAACCAAAATCAAAAGACAAGACGAATATGCCCGTTGCTGATCACCCCAAATGGTAAAGCACTCACGACCCATTAGTTCTGATAGCTAATTTGAACACCCTAGATAGCTAATATAACCCCGGTGAACAGGAAACATCTCAATAGAATTCTCTCCCGTGTGGGACCGTTCACAGAGGAGGGCTATGATCCAGACGAACAGAAGGCATTTTTGGCGAAGAGTAAGATTCTGTAAGACCCCCGGGAGGGCGAAACACTTCCTGTCCCGCTAAGCTATTCGAATGGTTATAGCTAATAACGGTTGCGGTAGGGTTATGTATGTATATAAAGTCTAAGTCCTAAGCTATGAATAGATTATAGCCTCATGAGCTAGATATTAACTTTTGTCAAAGCGGGGCTGGGGGTCTAGGATGCGAGGTTCTCAAAAATCTGGCGCTGTCTGGGTTTACGGACATCCATGTTATTGATATGGGTTTGTTTTGCCTCGTCCAGGTTGGGTGTATGGCTCGGCTGACATGAATATGTTATAGATACAATTGATGTCTCCAACTTGAACCGCCAATTTCTTTTTCGGGCCGCAGATGTAGGCAAGCCTAAAGCTACTGTGGCAGCCGAGTTCGTAATGAGGCGTGTGAAGGGTGTTACCATAACTCCATACTACGGTGCTATCCAGGACAAAGGGCCCGATTATTACATGCAATTTCAGCTGGTTATCTGTGGGCTAGATTCAGTGGAGGCTCGAAGATGGATTAACGCAACTTTGGTTGATATGGTCGATCCGGAGAATCAGGAGAGCCTAAAGCCCTTGATAGATGGCGGTACTGAGGGTGAGTTTTCATAATCACGTGGGAAGGTGAGATATTAATTGTGGTGATGATAGGGTTTAAGGGACAGTCGAGAGTCATCCTACCAACATTGAGCTCGTGTTACGAATGCTCGCTAGATATGCTGACCCCGAGGGCTGCAGTACCAATGTGTACACTTGCGTCTATACCCCGCCAACCGGCACATTGCATCGAGTGGGCAAGTATCCTAGAGTGGCCACGGATCATGGGAGGTAATATTGACCCTACATCGATCTCACTTAAACAAGCCACTTACCAATTCCAGATAAAAAACTTGACAACGATGATCCAGAACACATCACATGGCTTTATGAAAAAGCTCTTGAGCGTGCGAAGGAATTCAATATTACCGGTGTGACATACAGCATGACTCAAGGAGTCGTCAAGAATATCATTCCAGCCATCGCATCCACGAATGCCATCATTGCGGCATCGTGCTGCAATGAGGCTTTGAAGATTATAACAAGTTGCAGCCCTTTTATGAATAATTATATGATGTATATGGGCGATGAAGGCGTCTATACTCATACTTTTGAGCATGAGAAGAAAGAGGGATGCCCTGTTTGTGGAACCTTGGCGACAGACTATGAGGCGAGTGGCGAGTGGACATTGGATGAGTTTATTGAGCGGTTGAAGGAGAAGCCTGACATGTAAGGCCATTAAACACCCCACACAATACCCGATGCTGATAATATGTAGCCAAATTAAAAAGCCAACCCTCTCAACGGAACGCCGGAAACTTTACTATGCAGGGCCGCCACAGCTGATGGAAATGACGAGGCCAAATCTTGATAAAAAATTGAAAGACCTAATGGATAGTGGCGAGGAGGTTGCGATTACAGACCCTGGACTTCCTTTCAGTTTGAGGCTGAACGTAATCTTCTCTAAATAAGAATTATCAACTAAGGCATACGTAGAGAAAATAATTTTATTTGGTGGTTGGCGTTTTATTTTAGCAGCGGAAACAAAGTCTAGATAAATATTACATCTCTCACCTCATGCCAGTCCATCGCAAGAACACAACGAAGTCTAAACCAAACCACTTTACATATGGGCTTTACCAGGCATAGAAAACCCTTTTAGCTAAAGATAAACAACCTAGGTGTATTTTATTAGATATAGTTCGTTTATAAGCTCAGGTATCCCTATCCGAAGAGCAATCCGAATTAGGGTAATCATTTCCAGTGTGAAAAATCTAGATGACCGTGAGAAGCAGGCCAACACACCGGCAAGATTGATTGTTAGGGCAGGACAGTAACTCTTTTAAGAAAACGGCTTTTTCAGGCTTAAATAGTGTGGTCCACGAGCCAGACTGCCTCGAGCTTTCAGCTTGAGCCGTTGTCTCAAGCCTGTACGAGCCCGACCCCTCAAGAGCCGGGCCAGCTCGAGCCCAAATCTGGGCTCAGCTTGAGCCGGCTCGTGAGGTAATAGAGGGTTCTAGTAGCAATTGGATGGTACTAGGACAGAGCGGGAGTTTACACAGTGCTCATATTCACTTATGTATTCGGGAGAGTTCTAGTATTTTAGAGGATCTATCTATATAAGAACGCAATTCACCTCAGTTCAACCTTTAGCGACAATGGATCCACTCAATGATCACGGATTGTCACTCGACAAACTCTCAGATTTTCGATTAAAGCAGGCCTTGTGGTATGAAAGAACTATATGTACTTCTAGAGTATCAGTCAATTCATCGTTAATTTTTATCCATTGGCTCGAGCCGGGCTCAAGCCCTCGAGCTTTCTACGAGCAAGCCGAGCCCAAGCACTAATACCACGAGCAGGTCGAGCCATATCAGAATTTGGGCTCGAGCCGGCTCGTGGACCACACTAGGCTTAAAATACTTATATACATCTCATATATCAAACCGCGTGGAGAATCCATGTAGATAACATTTATTTTATTACTGGAATTCTACTTGTATCTACTAGTAGCTACTGCAGTATTACTAGTACATAGTAGCTACTCCTTTTAGATTTACATACCTATTCGATCCTATTGATAGGCACCGCATTGATCGACAAAGGGTTAGCCTTTTCAACTCAAATTTATTGGATTGTATGCTCTTTTCGAGTATGAATGCGATGTGACCGAGCTTATATACATCATATATTTGGAAAAAGAAAATTTTAGATCTCTAAATCTAACCAAAGGTTGCATTTAGTAGTCATGATTTATCATTCGGTTTTGGCCACAGTCTCTTCCGCCCTGAGAAGTTGATTTTGGTCTCCTTGGCACTGTCATCCCTACAAACTTTATGTAAATAATTACTCTGTGATCATACCTTTTATGTTATAAAGTGATTGGGTTCTGGGCGCCCTTAGATTGTGGTTTGTTTCTGCTTTCAATTTCGTGTCTTACAATCTACTGGTGGTTGAAATGTATCTAAATACTAATCATTGGTAACCGTGATAACCTATACAGTCATGATAAATAGATATAACGAACCTAGCTGAGAATCTTAAGTCTGTACCTCTGGTGCGCGAACGGGAGGCTTTGAAGATGGATATACTGAGAAATCCCCGAGCTTATTTCTTTATGACTAACTAATGTACATCTAAAAACGATACATCTGGTGTCAATTATTAATGGTTCCATGGGATTATCTCGCCATAGAGTACCGGTCTCATTGTGGTTTCATTCTAGCCTAGGCGTACTCGTTGATTTGGTATATGGAGATGTTGGTGTTATAACATAACAATAAGATATAGATAGTTTCCGACATTAAAAGAGTCGAGAAACTTTCTCCTCCAACCCGACCTTCTCAAGCCCTTGAAGAAACGAATTATAAGACTTCAATGACAGCGGCACCTCTGGTAGCACCTCCGGAACCGTTCTGTCAACCTTCTCATTACTGGCCATACTTTGACTTTATAATGCATAAACTCTGTCAGGTAATCAACTGCTCTGTACCCTGTATCATTTCTGATAGACATATCCGCCTGGTTTTCTAACAGTGTTTTGATTTTTGGCCATGAACCCCCAATACAAGCCATGTGGAGTGGTGTTCGTTTACGAAAATCCAATGCATCGACTCTCGCTCCATTTCGTATGAGCGTCCTCAAGTGCTTGTGGCTAGCCCCGGACCAGCCTGCCGCGGCATGGTGGAGAGGCGTTTGTTTATACCGGTCACGAGCATTTGTATCGGCGCCGTTCCGTATAAGATACTCCAAGGGACCGATATCCTTATTTGATGCCGCCATATGGAGAGCGCTTTGCCGAAGATAGTTCCTTGACACGATTTTCTGGATGCCAGTCTCATATATTACTTTGACAGTAGTCTCATTACTTTCCATAGCCGCTGTGAGAAATGCAGTTTGGTGGTTCCTTGAAAACAGAAACCCCGGAAAAAATGGTGTGTAATCATCAGGCAAATCATATAACCTTTTCATCCCTTTCAAAGGCTGTAGCCGGGCATCATTCAAGCCATGATTAATATACAATTTGACGAGCAGTATGTTTCCGTTGCTTGCTGCTGAGAGAAGGGCGGCGAACCCCAGCTCAGGACAATCGATTGCCATCCGCTGAAGTTTTGGGCAAAGAACCATAGCAAGTCTTCTGTTTGCGCGAATGAGACGACAAAGGTCTTTGGCATCAAGCTGGCACCCGATTTTCACGAGGATCTCGGGGGGTAAACCGGGGAGGGTAAGCATTAGGTCAAAAACTAAAATTAAGGTTATTAGGCCATGTAGGCAGTTGGAAAATTTCGGGCTGTATTATATTGGGGGGGTACTTACTTACATAGGAAATAATAATATTGATTTGCAAGAACTATCCACTTGCAGAAGTATGAATTGTAGATTAATGATTGACCGGCCTGGTGGAAAAAATATAGTGGAGTAAAGAGAGATGCGGTTGGTCAAACCTCCTTGATGTAAGAATGCCGAACTCTAGGTAGGCCTACAGGTAAGGTATATGTAGAACGTATCAAAGCCACCTAGCACTATCGGAGTCTAAATAATCCTAGATTGGAAATTCGAGAAGATAGCATGACACCTGGGGAATAGTATCTATCTACTCATACGCTTAATCGATTTTGGGATATTGGTGTCGTAATATTCATCCAAAAGCTCCAGTTATCTGCATGCACACCTAGCTCAGATTTTGTTATTCAGAAAACGGGAATTCTTTACCAAGTGCTACTAGTTACGTACGCTCGTGGGGTATGGTGAGTACTACGAGGGGATATGTGAACGGTTTTTCTTTCTCTTTGGAACCATGACCTACGGTAACTTATTTTCCAGTCTCCAAATCCCTGGTTTCAGCCCTGTTACACAGAGGAATCGTCTAAACGCGCTCACAGGGGTTGGTACCAATGTCTAAGGGAGGACGCTAAAGGAATCGCGGTTTAGTCAAGCAGAAGTGACGTCTGCAAGCACGTGTTAATTGGCACTATTAAGGGCTAGGGTTGCTTTAGACGCAACGTCGGGGTTGTAACACGACCATACGCGTGAGCGTGTCAATACCAAGCTCAAAAACCGCGACAAAGCCAAAAAAAATTAAAAAAAGCATGGAAGGATTGTCGTCACAAGAGCTGCAGGACGATGACTTTGACTCCAAGGAGCATCAGGTAATATCTCTTAGAGATGCGTTTAGTTCAATTGTGTTGACTGTTGTAACAGGCCTGCTACGTCTACACGCCAGAAGACCGAGATGACCGACCAACTAAACGTCGCCGCACAGTAAAAGGGAAAACCAAACAAACCGAGACAGAAAGTGTACAAGAACCAAGCAACAAATGTCCATTTCCAGTTCTGCTCAATGGAGAGGAAAAGGAGGAAACGGTCAAGTTGAGATATGAGACGTATTGCCGACTATGGGGGGAGCAACAGGAGAGGACAAATGTAAGGGAGTGTGTGATAATAATAAGAGTGATTAGCACTGACCACCGGAGTAGGCAATTCTTCAATCTTTCAACAATAAAACGCTCGAAGATGTTTCCGGATTCGTTAAAAGCCCTACAGCGGAAAGGTAATTGATCTTGTTGAGATTGTCGCATGTATTCTGTTAACACCTGGTAGTTGTGATGGGAAAATACCTACAGCCTTAATTTTGACTGGCCCAAACATCGCATCGCATACTCCCCTTTTTGAACAACTGGCTAGTCGTATACGGGACGAAGAGAAGATTGGGCCGGTTGTTATCCTCACCTCAAAAGATGCGACGAATTTGAAGAGCATATTGAAAAAGTTGATCAGAGATGCTACGCAACAGGACGAAGGTATAGACGATGAAGAGGAAGAGATTGTGGGGCGCAAGGGCTCGAAGCTTCTCAATTACGACCTTCAGATCTTGCAAAACTGGTGCAAATTGCATGAAGGGCAGAAGGTCGTTATCGCGATACAAGACACGGAAGCATTTGATGGAACCATCCTCTCGGATTTGGTTTCTCTATTCAGGTTTGCATCTTGAGGCTTTCTCTAGGAAAAAAAGAAAGAAAAAAAAAGATACTAACCCGACAAAACAGCGCCTACATGGATCGCATACCCTTCACTCTACTCATGGGAATTGCAACCTCCGTTGAAATATTCCACGAGAAGCTCCCAAAGTCTACCATTCGTTTGATGAAAGGCGACAAGTTCGACGTAGAGCGTGCTGAGGAATGTCTCGCACAGATTTTCAATGACTCGATGATCGGAGAAAACCCGATCTTGAGGCTTGGCCCAACAGTCTGTGATTTCTTGCTTGCGCGGTATAGAGACCATAACCAGAGCATTCAGGCCTTCGTAGGCGCGCTTAAGGTATGGCGCACCGTAAATATCTACATGTTATCTCTTGCTAACGAGTAAAAGTATGCATATATGTCACATTTCTATGCCAACCCTCTCAGCATCATTCTTGCATTTATGGATAATTTGGATAGCCTAGGGGAAGTATTGACGCCATTACACATTGAAGCTATCAGGAATGTTCCTTCGTTCAAAAGATACGTTGAGCAAAAGCTCAACAACAGAGACGCCACCGAAGTTCGCAAGCTTCTCGGGGACAATGATCACGTCCGCTCAACTGTCATAGCATCTGCTGCCGGTTGCCGTTCGTATGCAGTTTGTGTAGGCCAGGCCCTAACGGTACTTGAGATCGCCCGTAGCTGCCAGATGAACCAGAACCGGATCCCTCGATATGAGCTATACGCACAGGTCCTTTCGGGAGAGCTTCATAGTGGCACCACCTTGGTTCGAGATCTCTTACTATCAATGAAGAAGATGAACTCTACCTCGCTCTTAAACCTCCTCGACAAAGTCACCGAAGAGGTACAGGTACCCTATCTCGTTGAGAATGTGGCCCCATTACGTGAGAGAATTATAGCCCTTGTAGAAGCAGCCGAAAGCTCCGGGAAGAAAACCCTCAACAGTGAATTTAATGTGACGAAAGATTCGCTTCGCGCTACGGCTGTATCAAAGCGGATCCAGCTCGGGGAGCAGAAATCAGCATTAACAAAGGAGGACACGGAGTACTCCAAGTTGGTCCAGCAGGTGCATGACGTCGCCGAGTCCTATTTCAAGGAGCACCTAAAGGGACTACAAGGACTATTCCTACACGAGCTATTCTTCTACGATCTGATATCCCCGCATCGTGATGTACGCACGCACCCTTCCCATGGACTCGTGGCCCAGTCATCTAACAAAGCACATCTATAGGTATTCGCACCACGATCCCGCTCAACCGTCGAACGAGCACTATCAGCGCCACAAGACTACCTCGGCTGCGAGTGCTGCACCGACGAGAGCGGCGAGGAAGTCGGCATCAAGGCCACCCAGCCGCCCGCCAGCATCATATACCAGCTATACCTCGAATCCGGCGCGCTGATCAACATCTTTGACCTGTGGAGGGCCTTCTACCAAGTAATCGGCGGCGACGAGGGCGAGGACTGCGACGAGGCGACTGCACAGTAAGTACCAATATTCCCCCTCTCGCACAAGTACATGAATGTAGGGTAGAGTCTAATGGGGCTGTATTTCTTAGAGCGTTATTTTACAGGGCGTTGGCAGAGATGCGGTTCTTGGGGCTGGTCAAGCATACCAAGAAGAAGGCAGACCATTTGGCAAAGTTGGCGTGGAAGGGGCTGTAAGAGCAGAGATGGCAGAATGGGACTATCAGGGGTGGGTGAATCGAAAACAAATTCGTTTAGCGTGTTTTATTTTTATTTTTATATTTTTATGTTAGGTTGTAAGATTAGAGCATACCCCCCTTTTTTTTTGCAAGAGGAGGAGATATGGGGAGGGAATGTAGCAATGGAACTTAGATAATGCATCATATCAGTAAAGCCCCACGATGATCGACATGATACCAGAGCGAGCGGGGGTCTAGGCATATAGCTACATTTAGACCTGATCTTTGTGTTCCGTAGCTTCCTCTTTACAGGACTACATTTCCGATATTGGTGCTTCATATGAAAGAAAGAAAAAAGAGACTATGGTGTAGTTACACCAATGGTCGAGGTCGGGCCAGGACGCTCATTTTTCTTGATTTCCAAACGGAATATAGAATAGCTGGAGAGCGAGATCCATATATAGAGAAAGTGGATGTGTGGGGTCATTGATATTATATTTCCCCGCATATTATATGGCGGGTATTTATAGTGGTGAACTTCCTTTTCTGGCCTTTGCTCTTGTCGTGTCCACACAGCTACTGAATTATAATGCGAATTAGGTATGGTCGTAGAGGGAGATACATTAGCGAGGAAAGGAGGGGCGGGGAGCACGGGGGATAAGTGTATTGGCGGTGGTGCAGAGACCACCTTCGCCGGATGAACTTGTATATACGACAACCATTTTGACAAGCAGTAATTACTTCTACCACAGTACCGTAGTTCTACTCATTTCCTCCACATACTACACATCACCAAGCCTGAAAATCAAGCACTCGTTACACACCACCACCAACACAGCCGAGTGACAGCACATGACCAAAGAAAAAACAGAACAATCTAGGGAAAAAAAAACGTAACAATCCAGAGACTACGGGCAATTTACAACTTCTCCTTACTCTTCCTCTCGGCCTTGTTATATATCATGCTGCTCTCAACCTTCTCCTTCGGCTTGCTCAGCTCGCCCTCCTCCAGCAGCTCTCGGATCATGTCCTCGTCGCCCACCTGCTGCACAAAGCTAAACTCGGGGTCGCGCCCATACGCGATGCGCGCAGCGTCCACCAAGATGCGCGCCGTCATGCCCCAGACGCGGTAGCGCGTGAGGGTGGCGGCGTCCCAGACTGGTGCTTGGAACTCGTGCATTCTACAGGTGTTAGAGTTGTGGAGAACGGGAGCCTGAGAGAGAGAGAGCAAAACTCACTTCCACTTGTTCCCATTCCACGGCACCCAGCTCCCCTGATACCACCCCACGCCGTCCGTCACCTCCGGGTCCACCCCGCGCGCGGGATCAACGCCGTACCGCACGCCCAGGAAGCGCTCCAGCGGCACCGTAAACACCTTTGCCACCTCCTTCTCGTCGACGCGCGGGACCAGCGCCTCCTCGACGTTGCTCCGGCGGTCCCAGTGCAGGAAGGCGACACACGGGCGCACGCCCAGGTTCGTGACGGCCAGCGAGTGCGGAAGCTCAGTGAGGTGCTCGACTGTGAAGGCGCGCGAGTCCAGCGGGAGACCAATCTCTTCGAAGGCTTCGCGCCGCGCGGTGTGGAATGCGCTTTCGCCGGCGTCGGCTTTGCCTGTGGGGGGTGTTAGGAGCTGTGCTCGTATGTACGGGGGAGTGGAGAGGAGAGAGAGCTAGCTACCTCCAGGGAATGCGACGTGGCCGGCGAAGCTCTTGAGTTTGGCGCTGCGCACGGTGAGCACGACTCTGAGGTCGCCGCGGCGGTCGGCGAAGAGGAGGAGGAGGACAGCGGCGCGGCGGGTGAGGGGGAGGGCGGTGTAGATGTTGGTTAGGGGAGCTGCATAGTTGCGGAGGTTGGCGATGGCTTGCTGGGTGGGTTAGCGGGGTTTGCAGTGCGGGGAGGGGAAGGCGGGGGGGGGGGGGGAGAGGTACCGCGGAGGCAGGGGATAGAGCGGTCATCTTATGGGATCTGTGCACGGGCAGAGGAAAGTAGGAGTGATATAGGAATACATGGAGCTATGTATAGTACTTACCATGGTCTGTGTGTGTGTGGGGTATTTACTCTAAAGTACTTGGGCGTCTGGGGTTGTTCCCGAGGCTTATGCACGAGGGATTACATATACCGGGGTAGCTGGTCTTGGACGCCGATCTTTCCTGAAGTTGAAGCTGTTTCGTTTGTTGGGAATAGTTGTCGTTGGTGGTTGATTCGACGGTCTTTGTATCAAGGTGTGAATGCTTTGAGTATATTCACGACCGTGCCTGCATCGGAATATCTAGACTCTTTAGGATAATTAATTAATACGAAGCTACGAAGCATATAATTAGATTAATTAGGTCGTTAAAGACTTACCTTTCCATTGCGTCATTAAGTAGCTGTTGGTAGTTGCCGGATGTCAATCCAAGAAGAAGATGAGAAGATCAGAAACCGGTGCTGTAGGTACACTCAATCTTAACGTACTTACGTGGCATGTACTCATCATCTCCTCCAAAATATCCACGTATGCGTGTGCTGCTGCTAAGTTACCTATTTTATTGTGCAAGGTGGCTAGTAGTGGGTCTATTTATCGTTATCTGAAGCTTAATCGACCCTTTAATAGAGAGATCCGGGGTGAACGACAATCATACGGTCTTCTAACAATCCCTAAACATATTCTCTTTACTCAAGCTTGATCCTGAATTCAAGTAGGCTTCAAGTTAACCACTTAATTAGTACATCAAAGAAAGCAAGCTGGAAAATGCAGAATTACACGTAGTCATATTGAAGAACTGCATATTCTCGTAGTATCGTATGTATAAAAGACGTGCGACTCTTCTATATAGAACTATCCGCGTTCTAGAGGGAAACGGGTCTCATGCTTAATTCCCATGGATGTCTTTGACAATCTATCTCATCTGAGAGAGCTATATAATGACTTCGCGAGGAACACGATATCTACCTCACCCACACCTTGGTTCCATTATGCTAAACATTACAACTCTAGCTTGGGTTTTGAGAAGAAAGGTATAGCTAGGCTCTCTCAGTCCTCTGAATACTCAATAGGGCCCATTCTCGACACCAATAAGCAAGAAATACCTTACAAATAAGTCTACTGCAAGACGTTTTCAACTGAATATACCTCATTTTCTCAAGCCCTATAAGCCCCCCCACGTACAAGTGCGGTTAGATTTAGTGAGAGTCTTTTTTTAAATTGCCTTCATTAGTGTCTCGTGCCACGAGTGATGCATCATGATCGGCCAATTAAGCTTCATTGCTATGGAAATGCTTTCCCCCATGCTTTAAATCCAAGAGGAATCCCCTCATTGCAGCGAAGCTTGCAGAGAAAACCCCAGATTCAATCGTACAGACAACCTTGAGGAACTCCATTTGAGGTCTTATCATGAGCTCAAGGATATATATACGTCGATCCTATGCCCAGAAGTCCGAACCTGTGTTACACATAAGTACCACATGTGGACACAACTTTTAAACTCTCCCCTGCCCTATCATAAACGGTTTCCCCGTGGTATACATATACATATTTCGCTACTCCCCTTTATTCCCGGAATTAACCCGGTACTCGGGACCCCCACTTTGCAACCCGCTTCCTGCATTAGCAAGCTCAGTACCAGAGCTCTGTTCCTCCTCCTCTTGCTATATTACAGACATATCTTTCCATACACAGCACAAGGCTCCACAAAACAGCAATGGCAAATAAAGAGAAAGAGTCGACCTAGATATGTACCTCCTATAGATCTCCTTGTCAAATACAACCATTTCTATACAAGGCCCGCGATAATTCCCTTAGTGTTAAACATGTAGTCAAGATATCCCAGTGCTATTCATGGTGCTACACAAGGAAACCCCCCCCCCCCCCCCCAGAGCCAAATCCGACGATTATTCCCCCCCCCCCCCCTCTCCCTGGTTAAATACTTAACAAAAGTTAACCGTAAAGCCCTAGAAAGCCACCCCACGAACCGAACCCAACCCACAAAAATCCAAACCCCAATCTCAAAGGGCTACACGATACTCATTACAGATCTCCCTGTACAATCAGGTCCCTCTTCGCGCCAGATGAAGGCTACGTGTACTGGTATAACTAGACCCCGCTGTACAGGAGAAATCACACGGGAATCCCAATAGCCAACAACCCACAGTCCTCACTATGACAGTGATGTCCATCCAGGTTACCACTCTATGAAGGATCGGAGCAAATGGTCGAAAGAACCAAACCCCAGTAAGATCAACAGCCTGAAGAGGCCGCACAAGAATCTCAAAAGCCAAATCCCACTATGATACCCCTAGTGTAATTATAATATCACCCCATCCCATTATTCCCCACTTGATAGAACCGTAAAGCCCCAGAGAGCCACCCACGATCTTTGGCGAACCTTACGAGCCAAACCCAGCAGCCAACCCCCAACCCCAAAAAGCCGGATACCCTTACAGACCTCCCTGTATGGCCAAATAATCCTCTCCATGCCAAACAAAGGACACCAAAGATGGAAACAGACGACTCAGGCGAAACCACACAGAACCAAGAGAGCCATGATTCAAATATAGTCCCCGTTGGTCATGCTGTGGAGACGCTGGTTCCGGGGGAGATGAAGCCCAAGGGAAGGGCCGGCACCCAAGAGCTGGGGGAGGGCTAAAGAGGAGGACAGACCCAAACCCGAGTCATAGGATAGTTAGGACCATGAGATAGAGAGAGTGAGTGGAGAAAATTGGGGTGGTGGTTGTGTTGTGTTGTTTTGCGTGGTGAAGAAGTGTGGGAAGAGGGGAGAGGGCTACGTTTCTTATCAAAGTGCCACTCTAGCACTGTCCCTCATCGAGCGCCGAGAGCGCTGCATCATCTGCTCCATGGGGGGTCATATGTATCCTATAGGAGTAAAAAGGAATTGCGAATCCCCCAATAAGATACTGCAGGAAGTAGAACCCCACCATCGACCGAGTGATAACCCATGACCACCCCAAAGAGTGCATGGACCACCACACACAATTCTCTACCTCCACCCCCTTAGATATTACTTCCGGCCCTTAACAATCGTGCGGGCGAGTGCGTGGTCTAGTGGTAGACGCCTCGCCTGCTACACCGCGTGGGTTGAACCACCATGACCGCCCAGACACGATTGGGTCCCGGAGACGTCCGGAGGTCGTGGGTTCGACTCCGGGGGTGGGAGTGATTGCGTTGCCTGACCTGGGGGGGTGCGACGACGGTTAGCAGAGCTTAAATGTCGCGACATGGTAGCCTGCAGATCCGTGAGGGGGAGCGTATGGTTGCAGCATCACTTTTTGTGGATTTTTATCCGTTTTCTTTTTTTTCTTTTTTTTCTTTTCTTTGGAGGGGCGTGAGGGAGGAGGGCCAAGGTGGGGTGTGTGTGATATCGATTGGAGCTGCTGGCCTACAATCGCAGATTAAACTACCTGAGTATCCTGCTCGTTATTTGGCCAATCTGTCTGTCTCCCCCATGTCAGGGCCGGATGGTGGATTAGGCCGGTTTAGTGAAACTCTTTCAGACCATATTCTTATACAGTATAGTAGATGTAGTATGGTACACAGTCTGGTAGAATTATTGCAGAAGTGGGTTCCCCCGTGACCCGATAGTCCTATTGGCCCTTAAATGCATTTTTTTTTTTGCAGTAAGCACGGCCGGACCAAGAAGCCCACTCTTTTAGTCCTGACTTCCGCAATAATTCTACCAGACTGTGTAGATGATTCATGAATGCGGGTCTCTTGGTCTTTACGAGCTCGTCAGCTATATAGATTTCATGATAGCTATACTACGACCCACGCACGAACCCCAGCCAGCCAGCTATAAAGAAAAAGAAAAGAGGAAAAGAGGAAAAGAAACAGAAAAAGGGGAATCTAATTTAAACCATGAAACCATGAAACCATTAACCCATTACCACCACCACAAAGCAACACCCCCCGCTACGACAACGCCTCCGCCTCCGCCCCCGCAGCCTCCGCCTCCTCGTCCTGCCGCCGTATCTCCGCCTCAATCCTCGCCTTCTCCGCCGCCCTCATGCGCATCAACGTGATGCTCTCATAGTCCGTCCCCTGCCCCGTCCCCACTCCCGCACCCCCACCACCTCCTCCACCAAAAGACGCAAACCTCGGCCCCGCCTTCGCCTCCGGCACCTCACTCCTCCCCTTCCCCACCTCATGCGTCAAATCCGGCTCCTTCCCCGACGCCCACGTCACATCCCTAAACACCGCCAGCTCCCCCCCGCGACCCCCGGAAGAGGCCTCGCAGACAGCGGCGTGCGCAGAAACAATAGACACAAACACGACCAGCGCCGTGCGGAACTTCTTCTCCTTCTCGCCCTCCCGTGGCGCCGTCAGCGGCGGCACAACAACATCCTGCACCTCCCCGAAGCGCGAAAACAGCGCCGAGATCCGCGACGCCGTCATCCCGCCCCCCTCCCCGCCGCCCCCTCCCCGCCGCCGCCGCCGCCGCCGCCGCCGCCGCCGCGCCGCTTCCAGCGTACCTTCAGCGTCCGGTCGAGCTCCGTGAACCTCGTCGAGCCCACCGGCGCTTCCGCCTCCGCTTCCTCCTCAGCCTCGACTTCAGCCTCCTTCGCAGCAGCCCTCAGCGCCTCCTCGCGCCGCCTTCGCAGCTCCGCGCCCTCCTTCTGCAGCTTCCCGAGCATCCTTTCAAACGCCTCCTCCGCCTCCTCGACCTCGGTGCGTGCCTTTTTCGCGCCGCGCTCGCGGCTCTCGAGGTCCTCCTTCATGCGGCGGCGGTCGACGTCGAAGGCCTCTGTGCGGCGCTTCCGTGCCAGGCGGGCGTTGCGCGCGGCGTCATAGGCGGCGCGCGTGCCTGGGTCGGAGAGAACGTCGTAGGCGACGGTGAGGAGGTGGAAGGTCTCTGCTGCCGCGGGGTCCGGGTTCTTGTCGGGGTGCCATTTGAGGGATTGTTGGCGGAAGGCTTTGCGGAGTGCGCTGGGGGAGGTCTCGGTGGTGGGGATGGAGAGGAGGGTGTAGAAGTCGGTGGTGGATGTGGTGGCGTAGGTTGCGGCGTCGGCTTCGGTGGAGGGCATTGTGTGTGTGTGTGTTTGTGGGGGGGGGGGGGGGGTGGGTGTTGTAGAAGTGGTGGTGTTGTGGGGTTGTGGAGTGGTGAGAGTTGAGGTGGATGGATCGGAGTGAAGTTGAAGATTGAAGATTGAGCCTGACGGCCTTGGCGGTTACACGGGCACCACTGGCGATCTGAACCTGGAGTGAAGAAAACAGCAGCTGCAGCACTGCACTGCACTGCAGTTTCCGTTGATGCAGCTACTGAAACAGCTCTCACTGCAGCTAGCTAGAGCATCCATAAACATTACCCCATTACCATTAGCTAGTCTTACCCAATTCTTACCCATCGTAATACTCTCCCCATCCCCAAAGCTGCAACTCGTTACCAATTCCCCGGTCCCAGGCTATAAATTCACCCGGGCAGCACCCCGCGCTCAGCAGAAACAACCTCGGCACCTCCCCCCCCCCCCCCCCCCCGACGACGACGCAGCAGCCAGCCAGCTACAAATTTAGAAGCGCCGCCCGCTCTCTACCCCACAATATCAGTCTCAGTCTCAGTCTCAGTCTCAGTCTCAGTCTCAGTCTCAGTCTCAGTATCAACACCCACTAGTAACGACACCACCAATTCCAATCCCAATTACACCACCAACCACCCCACCATGTCACTCACCGTACCTCCCCCCCTCCCCCCCTCCCCCCCTCCCCCTCCCCCTCTCCACACACCCCGCTAACCCCCCCCCCCCCCACAGCGCACCCTTCTCCGCACCCCGCACACAATAGCCTGCATCGGCCGCAACTACGCCGACCACATCAAAGAGCTCAACAACACCACCCCCAGCGTCCCATTCTTCTTCCTCAAGCCCCCCGGCACCCTTCTACACCCCAACGCCGGGCCCGTGCTGTGCCCGCGCGGCGTGGACCTGCACTACGAGGTTGAGCTAGCCGCCGTCATTGGCCGCGAGGCTGACGACCTGACTGCTGAGAATGCGTTGGACGCCGTGAAGGGGTGGTGTGTGGGGATTGATATGACGGCGCGGAACTGTATGGCCCCTTCTTCCCCCCCTCTGTGTGTGTTCTGTGTGTTCTGTGTGTTCTGTGTGTTCTGTGTGTTCTGTGGGGCGGTGCGCTGACACCAGGGCGTGAATATCCCAGACCAAGAAACCGCCAAATCCAAGCGCCTCCCCTGGACGCTCTGCAAAGGCTTCAAGACCTTCCTCCCCGTCTCGGGGTTCATCCCAAAGTCACTCATCCCCAACGCGCAGGACGCAGAGCTGTACTTGAGCGTGAACGGGGAGGTGCGGCAGCAGGACAGCACGGCGCTGATGCTGTTCGGCGTGCCAAAGCTGCTGCAGCACGTCACGGGCGTGACGACGCTGTATGAGGACGACCTTGTGCTCACGGGGACGCCGAAGGGTGTTGGTAAAGTGGTGGCCGGCGATGTGATGCGTGCGGGGATAAGGGTTGGTGGCAGGGATATTGAGGAGGGGAGGATAGAGGTTCGGGTGGAGGATCGGGTGGGGGGGTTTGGGGCGTAGAGGGGAGGTGGTGGGAGGTACATAGGTAAATATAAATAGAATCTGTGAGGTTTTTTATTTTCGAGAGGTTCTAGATGACTACTGTGGAGAGGAAAGAGGGAGATAAAAAGCAACATGTAGTAGACCCATCATTATCCTGTTGAAGAAGAAACAACCCTTTTTGCAAATGAGAGAAAGAACAATCGTAAACAAACAAGTGGAAAGAAAGAAAAAGAGGCGCTACAGCTCAGCCCCCCCCCCCCCCCCCGAGGTCCTGTAAAGATAAAACTACAATATTGGCCCTCGTAGGCCCCCATTAACATTCCATCCAATCCCAATCCCAAACGCCCGCATCCGCATCATCCACACCCACACGAACCAGCCCCTCCTCCTATGGCGAGACCTCACGGTGGTGCTGCTGCTGATGCTGCTGCTGCTGCTCATGCTCCACCACATCGTTCTCCACCTCCATCAGCATCCGCTCCCACGTCTCAATCATGCCCTTGTAAAAGTCCACATTCGCCGCCGCCAGCCCGCCCAGCGTATCCTTCATCTCGTTGCTCTTGATCCGCTCAAAGTTGGCCACCTCCTTGACCACCTCCTCGTCAAACATCTCCGTCACGTTCCGCGCATTCTCGCTCTCCCGCGTCAGCTCCTCGATCTTCAGCTCGAGCTTCCGTATCCGGTCGCGTCGGCTCTGCTCGTGGTCCACGCCGCGCACGTCTTCGATCTTGGACCGCAGGAAGCCCGTGGGCCCGCTTAGTCCCGTGGTTCCGGTGGGCGCGGAGGCTATCTGGTCTCGCTCCCCGGCGGCGCGGGTGAGGTAGTCTGTCAGTGCTTCGTAGTCGAGTTGCTTCTGCTCCCGGGTCTTGAGAAGAGACTTGAGAGCAACGATGTAGCTCTCCATGTCCCTGAGTGAGCCGAGGTAGTCCTGGTCCGTGTGTTCTTTCAATGTCTTTAATCCCGTACTTGTCGCTTGCACTGCACCTGCAAATACCGCGATGGGTCCCGCCAGCTCCGGCTCGAGGCCTACCAGCTTCAAGAACTCCTTCGATAGGTCTGCATAGTCCGATTCTAAATCGGCCTCGCGGCGGACCACACGGGTAATGATTTTTTCGACATGGCCGAGGTCCTCGTCTAGCTTATCTGCGCGCTCTCTTACCTCAATGAAGCGCCGGTCGGGCTTATGCACCTTGCTGAAAGCATTCAAGAATGTGTCTGTCAACCCCTCAAACACACCTCCCTGGTCGTTAGCATTGGCCGGAGCACCCCTCGCAGGCCTCTTCCGCATGTGAGCATTCCAGTCCGGTGTCTCTAGAAAGATAAACAGCAGCGGAGTTCTGCGGAGCTCCGGGTGCTGCGTGAGGCGCTTCAGAAAGCGGTGCAGCGAGTGTGCTCTGCGCGAGGTAAAGTCGGGGCCAAATCGGTCCCCTCGGACGTACTCTGGGAGATAGTCAGTGGGCGCGGCGCGAGGAGCGGTGGCTTGGAGGGTCTTGGAGATGAGCGCACCCATTTTGTGTTTGTCTGGCAGCGGCGGGACGGCGCATTGCGGAAACTCGCGCGAGAGCGCCTTGTACAGGAAGACAAAGTCTGTGAAACGCCGGCGGACGGCAATGTGGTGGCGTTGGAAGGTTTTAAAGTCGGTCTGGTGGGAGGGGTCAAGGTTGGGGGTGTTAGCTACAGCTCTCCTGTATGGGGATGGGACAGCTTGGGAGCTTGGCATACTTGTATCGCATACTCAGCCAAGAATTCGAAACCTCAAAAAAAGATTCATTAACACATATGTATTCCGCCATCTCCGGAGGGATGTTTATACTCTGTTATACCAAGAGGAATGTCCTCAATAAGTATAAAGTATTGTGCTTCTATTATATGAAGATCTCAAGATATAAGGGGAATTATTTTAATTTAGTTAGCTTTTCACCTTAGTTCATGGCTTGTACCTGCATGCAGGGCATACACGGAATACAAGGACGGAATATCTCCCCCCCTGACTCCTCCCCCCCTAGGGCTCCCACCTTCATGCAAGACCAATACTGGTCTTGCATGAAGGTGAGGGAACTTGGATGCGAAGCGCCAATTGGGTATTAGGTATTAGTCCTGCATGGCTGCCCCCCCCCCCAGATCTTGGCTCCGCGTGCATGCGACCGCTCGCAAGCATGCAGTCCTTTTCCTGCGCCCCGAAAGGGCAGGACCCTACACTTCCCCACCCATCCTTTTCAACTACGACCAAGGCTGCGTGTAGTTGGATGGATGGATGGGTGGGTTGGAAAATGTAGGTAGGGAACTGGTTCAGCTACTGGCTCGGTTTTGGCTCCGCTAACGAAGTTGTGCATGCATGCGCCCAATTGGTCCTAGGTGGAGGCAATGGACATTCAAGGACTGCGCAGATCTGCGGGGGACAAGGCAAGTTGAATTCTTTTTTAGCGTCGCGGCGCCTGCGCCGCGATGCATCGCTCCGCGGCTCCGCCCCGGGCGACGCTAACTTAATAGTGAAACAAGCCGACCCATAGCTCCCGAATAGTACTGCATGCTTGCGCTATACACCCTCTTCTCCGAAGGTGGACGTATACCCGGCTCCCGGAGGCTAAGCAGCCACCCCCCCCCTTGTCTTCTATTTCCCCCCCCCCCCCCTAGCCTCCCTGCTCGCGTAGTAAGTTACAACTACATATCTATGTCTACATTTCTATGGTTACACAACTTTTCATCGAGGGGCGCCCCTTCGGGGCGCCCGACCCGAAGAGTCCTTGGTCGGGGGGCCTTTTCATCGGTTTTAAAACCTTTTCATATTTAATTTTTTAAAAAAAAAATAAATATGAAAAGGGGCGCCCTTTTCTTTTGGAATTTTTTAACCAAAAAAATTAAAAAGAAAAGGGGCGCCCTTTTCATCTTGAATTTTGCCCCCCCCCCGCTTAATATAACCCTCCTCCTCCACCCACCTACTACTCGCGTAGTACGGTGGAGAAGGAGGGGCGGCGCCGTAGGGCTCCGCCCTGTTGCTGGAGGGCCCATTTATACGTTTTCTTTTTTAATTTTTTTTGTTAAAAAAAATAAAAAAGAAAAAGGCGAGGGGCCTCAAGGGCGGGCCCCCTCCTTTACGTTTATTTCCCAGCAAAGCAGGGAAATAAATGAGAAAGGAGGGGCTCCTTCGGAAGCATAAAAAAGAGTCCTTGGTCGGGGGGGCGCCCCCCCCCCCGAAGAAAAGGGGGCCTTCGTCAGGTCCCAAAACCGAGCCTGCGAAGCGCCCTTCCTTATAGGGCACCCTCCCTTCCTCTCCACCCTCGGGAGAAGGTGGAGGCTCCGTAAGGTGGGCATAGACAGGGCGGAGGTGATAGGGTCATTATAAACCCCCCCCCCTTTATTTTTCAGTCACAGGGCTGCATGCAGCACATCCTTCGGATAAGCAGCGAAGCGCCAATTAAATAATCCTTCACCCCCCCCCCCCCCCACCTTACCCCCCCCCCCCCTTTACTGTTCCTGTCCCTGTAGGGTCTCCCTGCTGCTTAACGAAGTTGTGAATAGGAAAAGGACTGCATGCTGGACACAGCGCAGCAAAGCCCTACCCCCCCCCCCCCTAGCCTCCCTAGCCTCCCTGCACCTACCACCTTTTCTATTTTAAAGCCTCCCCTCTCTCGAACAGCCTTCTCTCTCTCTCTGAAAGAGAGAGAAGTTTTTTTTTGGGCCCCTTAGGCGCCCGAGAGGGTAAAAAAAGAGAGAGGGGAGGGGCGAGCAGGTAGGGAGCCTCCCCCCTGCTTTCCTGGTCCATTTTCAGACCCCTGTAGCCTCCCTTTTTCCACTGGAACTGGCCCCTCTGGAGAGAGGGAGAGGGAAGAAGTTTATTGACTGCATCCCGGGAAGATGAGGCTGGAGCAGGGGGTGGGGATGATGCGACTGGTCGCATCAACCTCCGGAGGTTGTGCACCCCGAAGGGGCGCAGCTTCCTTGAAGCCCGCAGGGCTGCTGCGGTATTGGGGCTGGCCACTGGAGAGACAAGGAATAAATCTTTAAACTATTTTATTACCTTACCACCCCCCCCCCCCCCCCTCGCAGGCTAGCCAGCGTAGCAAGTTGTATCTATATATACCTTGTAGCCTACCCCCCCCCCCCTAGCCTCGCTCACTTGGATCGGGGGGTGAAGGGGTGTGGGTGAGGAGCAGCCCTTTAGTAGTATCCTGGTCGCTTTGCAAGCGAAGGGCCGATTATAAAAAAAGGTAATCTGGGTATAATAGGAAGAAAAGGACTCGAACCTTTAAAAGCTTATCGCTATTGAGTTTACAGCTCAACCCACCTTACCTATAACGGAACCTTCCTTAAATCACTCCACCCCTTTTTTGATTTTTTCTGCATTTATATTCAGACCAGGTCTGAATATAAATGCTGCACCCTTAATATTTACCGTTCGTTTCCCGGGAGGTCCGGAGGAACACCCCTAGCCTCCCTGCTCGCGTAGTAAGTTACAACTACATATCTATGTCTACATTTCTATGGTTACACAACTTTTCTTTTTAATTTTTTTTTTTATTAAAAAGAGTCCTTGGTCGGGGGCCTTCGTTAGGTGGCAAACCCGAGCCTGCAAAGCGCCCCTTCCAGCCTTGGTCTGCATGCACAACTTCGTTAGGGCATGCTGACCAATATTTAGATTAAAAAAATATATACCACCCCTGCTTACGAAGTATGCTGGGAGCCGGGACAGCGGAGCTAGGCAAAAATTATTTTTTTTTTAGTTTGGCTTGTTCCCCGCTAAAATCAGGTCGGGGGTGAGGCGGACGCTGGTAATTAAGTAATAAAGTTTGTGAATATGTCATAACCTTTACGGTTATAAAATACCACAGTTTAAACTTTTTTATTTCTTTAATACGACTTTCGGTACGATGTCTTAGATCTGCACAATCCTTGAGAGCGTCCCCTCTCCCGGAGGGAGAGGGGATGCAGCCCCCCCCCTCTCTCGAGAGAGAGGGGGGCCGCTTTAAACAATTTATCATAACTTAGACCTCTCTGCATCTATTAGCCTAAGTTCCTCC